TTCTTGTGAATACATCAGCAAACAGGAACGCTCAGGGAAATTGTGTGAGAGGGCAATAAGAATAATTTTGTGAAATTTTAGGACGCCAATATTAATTTTTCATAAGTATATAATTCTAAAAAAAAAAACTTCTTAGTTGATGATCAGAAGACTCCATGGACATTTCTTCAGAAAGGACAAGAAACAAATGAAAATTTGTCTATTTATATTGGCATTTTGTCATGAAACTATTACATACAAATTTGACTAGGTTACAAAACTAATATTTTCCCAGACATCTAACAATTTTTTCGGATTATAGTGTGTCATTAGTGCAGCAAGGATTTACTGTGGAACAGGCGATATGGTTGGCATGCATTGACCATGATTCTTCGGTTCCAATGTTGATCATCTCTAGTCTGAAATTTATCACACTTGATTTGAACTTAATTGTGTTGAAGATTACTTGACTAACTTGTTCATGAACATATAGGAGTTAGCTTACACGAGCCTATGTTTGATGAACATGTATTAGCCTAATAATTATATTTGGGATCGGTTGGTTTGTTCCACGGACTTATAAATCAAACCCATGGTTCTCAGTCTGTTCATTGACAACTTAGGTTTATTTGCATTCTATAATCCATATTTTGGATAAAATATGTATTATCTCCCAAATTTTCTTTGAGTCTGTACATATGTTATCGTGTGTGTGTGTGTGTATGCAGTATGCTTTTCTTCTCTCCAAAGTTACGAATGTGCTATATTGACCATTGACTAAGTGTGTTAAATAAAATCACAATTATATCTAAAACATACTTTGACTAGGCATCATCTGGTCTGGTTAATAACTGATTCATTTACAGAGCAAAATATTTCTCTCACTGCTACCGTGCCACGTGGAATTTGATGATAGAGATGTTAACCAAGTCCTTATTTCTAATTAATTTAATCTAATCTTGTTTGTCTATAAATAAGTTGAAGCTAACATTCTCCAAACAATCAACAAAAACATGGCTGCAAAAAAATGTGGTGTCCTGTTTCTTGTCCTTGTTAGTGGTATGCTCTACTACAATTCACTTTGATTGTTTATAAGCTTGTGTGTGCCATGTTATTCATTTGATAGTGGTTATTAATACATTGTATCATCAAAACTGTGACTATTTATATAAATAATATGCTGTTCTAATTTTTGGGCTAATGACAGGCATGTTTCTGTTGGGAATCAATCTGCAATGCGCGAACGCGAAGATTTGCCCACAATATTGCAGGGGAGATATAGCTTATATGACTTGCAAGTCTTCCGGCAGTGAGAATCTTAGCCCGCCCTGCAACTGTTGCTTTGCCAATGTGGGGTGCACCCTTTACCTTGCCGATGGAACTCCAATTTGCAGTGGAACTTGAAAGTTTGGACATGTCTCGAAACACTGCTTATCTATATGAACTATGAAATAATGCGGGCGTTTGTGGTGTGTACTTTTTATTGTCCAATAATTGAGATCACTCTCTCTCTTTGTGGTTTATAGTGTCAACAGTTAGTTGTTCTACAAGCTTTATGGTATGTTTGAAAACTCATTGCTATGGCAAGTGAATTCAGACTAGGGCATATTTATCATGCTGTGAGATTGTGCCTTCAACTGTTTCATTGGAAGGTACATGGATCATCAAAGTCTGTCTCAATCTAGTGACTGAGGTCATGCCTATTAAATAAAACAATGATTATGACCAACCTACTCATAAATTAATCACTTGGGAGGTTGATCTTGATTGCCGTTTAAAACAAAAGTCAATTATTTTTATTTTTTCGAATGGTAAATGGTTAATATACTTATTTATTGGAACAGAAATCATGGTTGCTACGGTAAATGGTTAATATACTTATTTATTGGAACAGAAATCATGGTTGCTACCAGAGTTGGTGTCATGGCTTTTCTCCTTATATTTGGTATTCTGCACTTTCCTCTTCACTTTGTCTCATAAAATATCATGAAATGTTCACAAGCTCGACTCGTTGCTAATATCTTGTACTTGAGTAGCAAACACTTGAATTATGACACAAAATGAATTGATGTAGCTAAATGATAACTGAACATGCTTGGGTGCCTTCTATTGGAGTTTTGAATTCAAATTTTGTGCAAGACTTATTCAAAGTTTCGCGGAAGCTCTGCTACTACTGTATTTCTTACCACTCACTAGTTCTAATTGATCGATGTTGAAGGATTTATATATTTAAGTTACACCCTCTGTAACAACTTAAACTTTTGGAATAGATGGTAGTTAACAATAGATACAAAATTAAATTTGGATTTTACAGAAAAATTCAAGTAATTGAGTTGCTGTTATTTTTAGAAAGGACCTGATCTTTTTAGGAAATAATTGCAAAAAAAAAAAAAAAAAAACTACTGTTTCTACCCCATCATGCAATTTCTTGAGATCACTGTCTTTTTGTGATATACAGTGGTAACTTCTGTTTCTAAATGTCTTGTGGTATGTTTGTATACTCCTTGTTAAAGCAGGTGAATTCAGAACTTGGGTCAATAATGTTTGTCACGCAATATCTATCATAAAGTTAGCTTGTACCCCAGTTGTTTCATTTGAAGGTACATGGATCCTCAAAGTCCAAGACTCTTGATACAGTATGTAATTAATTGAGGACGCGAGGTCACATGAGAGTACTATCATATCTAACACGCGCATTAATCGTGCCTAATAATTCCAAAATAATGACCATCACCACCGCACTCATAAGTTAACAATTTTGACTTTGACAAAACCTCCATTGATAAGTGCATTTCACACCATACAATTACATTACAGAGAAGTTCCTTCATTTTAATATGTTATATATGCATATTAATTGATTTCTCTCTCTCCATTTGTGTCTTTGAATAAACTCATATTATAGACTTTGCTACCAGAGTTGGTAACATGGATCTTCTCCTTGTATTATTTGGTAATATTCTACACACTTTTCTCTTCACTTTGTTTGATTTTTCATGGTTATGTTAAACTTCTATCATATGCTTATTTGTGCATATATAATATATATATGTATGATTGTTTTCTCAAAGCAGCTTCATGTTTTCTAAATTGCTAGGCCTTGTCTTGCTGGGGAGCAATACGGTTCACGGAATTGTTATGGCTTGCCCTCTGGTCTGCTTGGATGTGGATTACATGACTTGCAAATCTTCTGGTGCTGAGAAGCTTAGCCCCAAATGCAACTGTTGCTTGGCTCGGAAAGACTGCACTCTTCACCTTGCAGATGGGAATTCAGTTTACTGTGGAAAATGAAAGTCTCAACATGTCTAAGAAGATTGATTGTAACTGCTTCTATTAAACAATGAGTGTTCTTGTCTATATGAATAGATTGTTGTAACTACTTCTATTAAATAATGGATCTTTTGTCTCCACATAAATAAAGGAACATAATTTGATACTTTGGAGCTTGGTTCTCCAATTATGTTCCTTTGCTTATATGCTTCTTTGGTAGAGAAGTTGAAATTCCTTATTTTTTTATTCAAATATTCATTTTTTTCTTGTTTTTCTATAAATAACTTAAGAAAAGCATGTCTGCAAAAAAATGTGGGGTCCTGGTTCTTCTCCTTGTTTGTGATATGCTCTATTGCAATTCACTTTGATTCATTATTGACATGGTTTATAAGCTTTGAATGTGCCATGCAGTGATGGAGCCTGGAAATTATTTCAAGAGCGCAATGAGTATGATCAAAAATTGTTTTTTTCAACTAATAGTGCAGCAAAACAATAAACCAAAAAATATAATTTCAGTAGTCAGAATTCAAATACTATGTCATTATTCTAAAAATATATAGTAAAAAAGTTCAAAAATATAAAATGTGGATAATAAAAATAAAAAAAATAAAAAAAAAAAGAATAAAAAGGGAGAAAAATGTTGTTGCACACACATCATATATTTACGAAGGATTAGGTGGCCACCTTATTTGCCTTAAGGTAGAGCAACCCTAATATCACTCATGGTAGCTTTTTCCTTCTTATCTAGAAGGCACATTTTCTTTTAGCACCTAGAAGGCACATTAGTCATGCCCATTAATCAAAATGATAATGTTGTCACGAGAACCCACTCATCAAAAGAGGTGTGAGTTTTTTTTTTTTTTTTTTTAATTACTAGATTGAGATAATTTTTTGAGCAATAGAAAAAATCAAATGAATCTCTTAATTAAATATGGAGAACTCCTATCTTTTGTCATGAGTTGATTTTCCTAATAGTATTACTCCAATGAAAAGTAATGATTATGACCAACCCACTAAAAAATTAATAGATCATGGTTGAATTTAAATAAGTCATACAGTAGTTTATTAGAACATTAAGGGTGTGTTGAATACAAATCTCAAGTTCACTTTGAGAAAACATTTATATTTCTTGATAAGTGCCTCTGAATTCTGGAGAATTGAGTCTGACTAAACATTAATCAATGAATTGAGTTTAAGTAAACATTATCTAGTTGATTATCAGTACAGTTTTAACCATAATAATTTCATTAATTACCTCATAAAAATAATATTGAAATGTAATATATATCTCAAAGCTAAACCCCTCCAAACATAGATCAGCAAGCATGGGTGCTACCAGAGTTGGTTTCATGGCTCTTCTTGTCTCAAAGCTAAAAAAAGGTTTGAACTGCTTCTGTTAGACAATGCGTTTTCTTGTCTATCTAAATAGATTGTGTGTAACTAGGGTTATGTATTGCGTGTTGTTTTGCCAATATTTCTGGTTTACAATAAGTGAATTCTAAACCTTTTTTTCTTCTATTTTATTATCATTATTTTTTGCAATTCACTTTGACAAAAGTTAACGAATCTAAAGTTGACTTTGACAAAACATCCATCGATGTAAGTTCATTTCACACCATACATTTTTCATTACAGAGCAAAAAACCCCCCATTGAGAAGTTCCTTCCTTGTACGTAAACTCTACAATTGAATTTGACTAAATTCATTTGGTTATGCAGTTTTAACCATAATATTTCCATTACCTCATAAAAATAAAATAAAATATGTTCAGAAATTTATATATAACTCAAACCTAATCCTCCCCCAAACATAGATAAGAAAACATGGCTGCTACCAGAGTTGGCAACATGGCTCTTCTCCTCGTATTATTTGGTATTCTACAAACTTTTCCCTTCACTTTCTTTGATTTACATGGTTCTATTAACTTCTATAGTATGTGTAAATCTGCATGTTTTAAATTTATTATTATCAATGATTATATATTTTCTAGAATCATTTTCATGTGTTTCTGTACTGCATGTCAGGCGTTGTGTTGCTGGGGAACAATATGGCTCACGGAATTGTTAGGCCTTGCCCTCTGATCTGCTTGGGTGCGGATTACATGACCTGCACATCTTCTGGTGCCGAGAAGCTTAGCCCAAGCTGCAACTGTTGCATGGCCCCGAAAGACTGCACTCTTCACTTTGCTGATGGAACTTCGGATTACTGTGGAAATTGATAATGTCAGTTTGACATGCCTTAGAAGATTGTAACTGCTTCTATTCAATAATAGTCTGTGTATAGACTGTATAAAAGTTCTTCTAAGACTAGATTATACATTATATAGCCGCCTAGGGTTTAGGTCCAAATTCTCATACCATGTTACAATATATGAGAATACTAGAATAATATTATATTGAAACTGATTACCATGATTAGGATCCTAACCCTAATTGGGCTATATAATATATAATCTAATATTAACACTCCAAACAAAGTTTTTGGGTGTAAGAGCATTTTTCACTGCTAGTTCTGGGTAAATTTGGACTTCACATAAAAATTCAAGATGGAGTTGCCGTTATTAATAGAAATAACCTGGGCTTTTTAGGAAATAAATGGTTTCCTTTTAAAAAATTTAAACTAAAATATGTCACATCTGTATTGGGGTGGCAATGATACTGATAGTAACTTTTGACTAGTCGGACAATAAATTGATAACTTGGCCTTGGAGGTCGGTGATGATTGGATTTAAAGAACATTAATGGTGTTGCTTGAATACAAACCCAAAGTTGACTTTGACTTACAAATCCATTACATAGCGAGAAACCGGTTGAGAATTTCCTTCCTTTTTATATGTTACAGAGAAAATTACCTATTACTCCTATTTTTTTTATTTTGTGGACTAATAAGTTTTTTATATAAATAAATAATAATAATAATAATAATAAGTTTTTAAGTCCTACTATTAGTTAATATTGCTCTTTTTTTTAATAGAAATATCATTAATTTCATTTTCTTATATAAAAAATATTGGAAGAAATTTTTATATTATCCTATATATATATATATATATATATATATATATATATATTAGTCTTAAATTTACATAGAATTACCTTTAATTCTTGAAATTACACTTTACCGAAGAAAATTGTGGAGCTTTTGGACTTGTTTTAATATTTATTTTTATTACGATTGGTTGAATTTTAAATAAATATTTTTTAAAAATTGCTCATTTTGGTGGCAATTAAAACTATGTGCCTTTTTCATTACTATTATAAATTGATACTAATTTTAAAAATAGAGTTAAAGAGTATAGTTAGTATTTTAATAAGAAAATAACATTTGAGGCATTTATAAGAAATGGCAAGCCAAGAAAAGAAACTTAGTTAAAAATAAGACTTTATGGTACTCATAACAAAATTTAAGTTTAAAATAAAAAAGTAGGACTAATTTGTAATTTTTTCCTATGCTATATCCATATATTGTTTTTAATGTTCTGATGACTTTGAATACTCTATAATTGAGTTAGACTAAAGTTTAGGTCAAAGTTTGACTAAACATCTTCCATCACCTCATAAAAATAAAATGAAATTTTTTTATTCAGAAATTCTTTATTTTTAAAGTTGTGGATATGTTATAAATAACTCAAAGTTAACCCCCTCCAAACATATATAGATAAGAAAACATCGCTGCTACCAGAGTTGGTTCCGTGGCTCTTCTCCTCATATTTGGTATTCTACATCTCTCTTCACTCTGTTTATAACATCAAAAATTTACGTCAGATTTGCACTAAGCTACCTCTATCATTTGTGTGTGTGTGTATTTGTGTATAATTTATGTTTACTGTTACGTATTATTTTTTCAAAGCAGTTTCATGTTTTCTATGTTGCCAGGCCTTGTTTTGCTGGGGAACAACATGGATCACGCAACGGTTGAGGCATGCCCTCAGTACTGCTTGGATGCGGATTACATGACCTGCAAATCCTCTGGTGCTGAGAAGCTTAGCCCGAAGTGCAACTATTGCTTGGCGCCAAAAGACTGCACTCTTCACTTTGCTGATGGAACTTCAGATTACTGTGGAAATTGATAGTGTTTGATATTCCTTAGAAGATTGTATCTGCTTCTAAATAATGAGTGTTCTTGAATAGACTGTGTGTAGTTCTGATGAGACTAGACTCTGTAGTGTTATGACTCTGGGTTTGATAAAGTTACAATAAGTAAATTCAAAACATTTCCATCCAAAGTTTCTGGTGCCACAACATTTCTTTTCGAAAATTTTAAATTCAATGTCCCAGCTGCAAAATTTAAGATGGAGTTGCTGTTCTTAATATAAACAACCCTAGCTTTTTAGGAAATAATTGCTTTTTAAAAATATATATATTTAAATTCGATGTCCCAGCAATGAATGATAATATAGCAAACATACCTGTCACTATAGCTTGAAAGAATACTGTTTCCAGAATTTTGTATTCACATATCTAATGGTAATGAGCAGCACTGCTGCTTGTGTGTGTGATTGAAGGAATTTGATGTCATCTCATTCTAACAACTGGCATTGCCTGCGAAAAGACAAACATCTTAGAAGATGATCGCAAAGGTTTCATACATATTTCTTCCAGAAGGACAAGAAACAGATGAAAATTTGTCAATTTATATTGGCATTTTGTCATGAACTTATTAAATACAATTTGAAATTTCTATATAAGCATTTAACATACATTTTTTGTTTCTATCCCTGCCCTATAATTCTGTTCCTTCTTCTTTCCTCTCTAAGCCTTATACACATATTCTTCATACAACAGTCTGATATTTTGAGCCGATATGGAAAAGAGTCGATTACTCAGTTACAAACACAGAAAAAGGAACTTTATGGAGAGAAAATTAGAAGGGATGGAAAAGAGTCGATTACTCGATACAAACACAGAAAAAGAACTTTATGGAGTGAAATTAGATGGGATTATATACTGCCGGAATCCCTCCTTCAAATCCCATCCACTCCTCCCATTCGTCAACTTCATCATAAGCCCCACTTGCCTGCAACTCTTCTTCATCTTCAAACTTTTGCGTTAGGCTCTGCACATTAAAATAAATACATAAATAAATAAAAAGAAGGAAACCCAAGAAAAAGAAAAGAAAAGAAAAGAAAAGCTATTAAACCAACAGCATTATAACATTCATCACTTGATCCAAATGCAAGTAGGAAACCCTAGGTAGATTCTGACCTGGATGGACCCATTCAACAGTAACACTAAGATATTCCTCTTAATTTTGAACAACTTTAAAGGGACTCCATAAATGTGCTATACAAAAAATGGAAAACTAAATTTATAATTATGTAATTAATTCAGCCACTCAAACATATGCCCGCATGTATGCAATTTAAGTTATCAAGCACATATGCAACAAAAAGAAACCAGCATTAAAAATTTTAAATGATTGAAATAGAAACAAATAAATATCGAATTATTGGATACATGTTTCAGGGGTTAGCATTGGGTACTGTCAGATAATTGAGCAACATTAGTCAGCCAAGAACCTTCCCTGCCTAGGTATTGTCTATGTTTACTAATATCGTTAAAAGGGAAATATATGATGTATATTTTTAATCAACTTATCTAAAAAGCTCCCATCCCAACTACTTGGAGTCAGCTACAAAGGATCCTTTGTCTCCATATTATAAAAAAGAGAAGGTGAGGAACAGCAAGAGTGGGTCTGAATTTAGGAATTCCATTTTTCTCGCCCCATTAGCTTCGTCTTCTCTTTTCTTTTACTTGAGAATGATATAGGAGAGAATATTGGTGAGGCAGTTAAAAATGACACGATGGCCTATGACTTAACTTCCACTGCTCTCATTACGCCTTTCTACCATAAGGTCCCTGTAAACTAAGATCACCGAGTGAGATGTTGAAAGGTATCTTAATTATATTTTGAATAAGACAATTTACAAGGTCTCGGATAAGCTCTCAAGTATTTTGATACTAATGTTATCTACAATTATCTGGAAACCTGGATTAATTCTACGAAGCATTTCCCTCATTTAGAAGGGAATCAGGAAACAGTTTTATATGATTCAAAATGTCTTTTGTTCTCCAGTAACCAAATTGAAATATTCAGCTTTGAAAATAATCTGAAGGCAACAACTCAAAAAGTAAGGAAATGGTTGCAGAAGGATGTACAAGAAGTTGTGAGAATAAATAAGAGTGGTAATCAAATTTAAGAGAGTATAAAATAGAAGTTCAATCCATGCAATGCATATTCGCTTATAAACCAAATTTGATTGAACCACAAGGCTATCTTTTGCTCGAGTCTTATACTTCAGGGGCAACTGAGTCCGAAGTTTCAGGGTTAATAATCATTTAGCAATTTTGGAACTGAAATAACTATTAGCAAATTAGTAAAGGATGTAGGGGTTCTTTACTGGAGTGCTAAATAAGATGTAATAAACGGAGATATCAAATACAAATGTGAGGCACCCAGAGAGATGATATGGATGAACAAGCAGTAGACAAGCCAATGGTATTTATGGTGAAGGTAGGAATGTTTGTCTATGTGACAGATCCCTACTTTTATGGGAGTTTATGTTTGCAATAATGCCTGCCATAGTGCCTGTATTTATAGTCCTAGGGTTTTTGGGTAATGCCCAGTAATCCACGACCTGATTGGTTTTTAACTTGTACTTAGGGTTGTAGGTTATGATTCCTCTACACCTAAGAAGTCAAGTCCTTCTTTTCGACATGAACTAGCATAGCAACAGCGCATTAAATTTTTAATGCAGACAAATGCATTTGGCTGGGCAACAACAGCGGTGGTTGAGGCATTAATGGTTTTAACTTTTAAGTAGAGGATTAATGGTGATTGTAAGGGTTGTCACAGCATGCGTTCACCATCAGTTTGGCTAGGCCCATTACTTGCCTCTGGCATCTTCTGACTTCTCATCCACCAATCCAAAATCCTTCTAAATGTCCCATGTGGTAGTTGTAAATACATGAGGAGGCTCTACCTTCCTCTCATTCCATACTTAATAATCTCGACTTGAGGTTGCGAGACACCTCGTGTCGGTATGTTTTGTCGTACGCGTTTTCTTTAGACTCAAGGGTGATGTTCTCGAGGTATGATGACCTGGCATGATGAGGTTTTATTTGGACTCGAGAGTAATACCCTCAAGGTTTGGTGACCTGTCATGATATCATGGTTTTCTTGGACTCAAGGGTGGCGTCCTCAAAGTTTAATGGCTTGGCATGGTGTCAGGGTTTCCTTTGGACTCGAGGGTGATGCCTTCAAGGTTTGGTGACCTGGTTTTCTTTGGACTCGAGAGTGATGTCCTCAGGGTTCAGTGACCTGGCATGGTGTCAAGGTTTTCTTTTGATCTCGAGTGTACTACTATTGAGGTTAGTTGTCTGTATCGAGAGCTTTGGCCACGTGGGGCCTTCTTTTGACTTTTCAAAGCCATGTGGCTGCTAAGTTGGGCCACTTTGGCCACATAGGCAGTGTTCGTTTGACTTTTCAACTACCCACGCGGCTAGTATAGCTTGACACCTACAAAGGACATCTATCTAGATTTAAGGTTTAGTTTTTTAAGTGGAAAACCAATATATAGCTTCCAAAAATCATAGAAACTTGCATTTGTTGAGAACTCTCTCTTTGTCTCGTACACACACATTTATGCGTCAAAACCATGTTTTTTCTGTGACAACTAAAACGTTCTAATATGTTCAGTTCCCTGTTGTATCATAATAGTAATTGGAGAATGATATTTTTAGGTTTCTAATGGAGCCATAAATGTATCACAATAAGAAAATAAAAATAAAAAACATTGAATGCATTGAATTAATATTTTCTTTCTAGATGAGAGAAGTATCCCATTTTGGAGACTTATGAATAATTCTCTCCATATAGTATCAATAGAGGATTTCCCTATTTTAGCTGGCCCAATTGTCTTGGTAAAAGAGGAAGGGCAGATGTGGGAGGCTGATCAAATTATGGGCCTCAATTTTTTTCCCTTTGAAATGAAGTCTAAGCAAATGGGTAAAACGCTTTGATGCCGGACCGGTTGGGGTGCTTCAATGTGAAAATTAACCAAGAATGAGAGAATGAGAGAGAAGAATAAGGGAGAAGAAGAAGAAATAGGAGAAATAAATCTTTGTAATCAATAATATTCAATAATCATCAAAAGGTGATTTCTCAATGTATTGAACCACATATATGTATAAGCATCAAGGAAGAACCCTAATCAAATCCTACTACCAAAAATAAAATCCTAAAATATTAAATCACTAAATATCGTAAAATTATAACATTCCCAAAATATTAATAATAAATAGAGTAAAATGCATAATTCTATCTATCTTTCCCACCTCTCCAATAGTAGAGGCAAAACACGTGTACTCCAAGCACTTGGGTCATGCTCCGTTCTCCATCACACTTCAGTCGAAAGTTATACAAACGCGAACCCTTTTTGCTTTTGCAGCAACACCAAAAGTGCTCACACATTCACTGGTCAAATAAAACTTGGTTGTTCCTAATGGGTCCCATGCTTACTGGAAGTGCACTAACTATTAATTAGATAACCATTTCTTAAGTTGGCAGTAAGCCAATGTTCTTTCAAGTTTAAATATATATATATATATATATATATATATATATATATATATATATTGATATATATCCATCTATTACCAAGTGCATCAGTAGATTCATACTCCGAGTGTAATTCGACAATAGTTGTCCTAGATCTAAAAAAGATTGCTCAACACTTCTAATTCACTTCCTGTGAATTTCTCATGATATTTCCTAGTAAGTTCCCCTAACATATATGTTCATTCTTACCCTCCACCTTATGCATAGACCATGTCATTTGGCTTCACTTTATGCTTAATGCAGTTTTCTGTTTGGCTACTACATCATCAATCCACATCATCGCAAGATTTCTTCAAGCCTCAATAACCTAAAGATTTCTTGGGAAGAAACCTACATGAGGTTATGTTCCAAGATGCTTAAGCATATGAGTTTAATATATGTCTATACACCAATAATTTCTGCAAAATTAACATCCTACGGATATCCAATACTTTACCAGAACAAGATCATGGGTTGTAAGTTGTAAACAGTATTGCATGAGCAAACAGTAATATATTTTACCAGAACAAGATCATGGGTTGTAAGTTGTAATCCCTTCGGTGCTCTTCCATAGATATCTTTTGCTTTGAAAGAAAAAAGTAGTATTTCCGAAACAACTAAAATAAAAATAGTATCTACAATTATAATTTATAGTTCTTTGCAATGACTTCAGACCTATCAGACAGAATTTACTTATTCTTGAATTTTATCCAAACAGCAGAACAATAAGCATCACATCAGAAGTAGAGACTAGAACCCCATTAATGATGTTTCATTTACTTTTTCAGAAGTACCTCATTTTGAAGCAAAAGTAAAGCAATTATTGTGAAGTGAGGATCATCATCCTTGCCCTTATCCCAAATGGATAGGGTCAGCCACATGATTCTCTTTAATCCATTATTTCCCATTATAAACCATGTCTTCCGTTAAATTTAAGTTTTTTGAGTCACTTTGAATTACATTTTGTTACAGTCTGCAAAATTTGTAAATGAAATTTTGGAAATTTTCCGTTATCATTTGCTTTTGACCACTATAACATGTTTTTGTCTTTACCAGAGGGTGTGTTCTTCACGCGCAGGAATCAGCATTTAAAAAATCCTTTTCCCTTTTTTTTTTTCCTAGTTAACAAATCCTTTTCCTTTTAAATGCTGATTCTCGCACGTGAAGAACACCCTCTGGTAAAGACAAAAAACATGTTATAGTGGTCAAAAGAAAATGATAACGGAAAATTTCCAAAAATTCAGAAACAGAATGTAGTTGAGTTGTAACACAAAAGAGGAAAGGAAGTTAGGAATTAGGTGCTTTTGTGTAAAGCCAAAAGGGTAATTACCTAGTGTGATTCCGATATGCGCAATAATTAGCTGATATTATATGCAAGCTAATAGGATTTGTGTAGCTAATCCCTAGTTGTGGTGTGAGGCTTTCTTCTGACTGGATTTAGTTGAATTGAATGGCAATTCAAAATGATGACAGTGCTGAAAAAATGTTACAAATTTCAAATATTAATAAATAAATAAACTACAATAAGTTGAGTAAATAATCAAATCAAGTCTTCCTGAAAAGAATTCAGATGAAATGCACAAAGTGGTTCTTTGAAACACCTCCAGACACATAGCAAAACCAAGGCTTGAATGACACAATGCAGAATTTTAAACAAAGCATTGCTCGGCGAAAATGTCAAAATCGATTCGTTACAACTTTGAAGAAGACAACCAGAGGTCAAGAATAAAGAGATCACAATAAGAATTCAAGACATCTTATCATGCAGCCACACATTAATTTCAATGTGATTATATATAAACTTGTTTGCTCATTCGCATTAACCACCATCATCACACTGTTATTGATACAATGTGATTACTTTCTTAATTAACAATTAAACTACAAAGTTGTAGAATACTTTTAACAATGTGAGTTGAGTTCCTTAGGTTCTGTTTGGTTAGATGGAAATTGATAGTGGAAACTGAAAGTAAAATAAAGTGAAGTAAATGGAAAGAAATTTCTATCGTTTATTTGTGTTAGCATGAAATTTTTTCAAGAAAAATATGAGAAATTACCTTTTTAAAATTTTTCTAGGCAAATTTTACAACTTAGGTGGTTAAAGAAAGTAATTTTCCCTCGCTAACCAAACTCCTAAATTGTTCAAAAATATATATATTTATTCAATCTACTTTCTTTTCATTTACTTTATTCAATCTAAATTGTTCCAAAAAAAATTTAAGGTAATTTTTAATATCTTGACAATATTAGTAAACTAAGGATCAGCTCAAAATTCAATCTAATTTTAGAATAATAAAAAGATTGATTCTAATTTAGACAATCCAGCAAGGAACACGCACCTAAAAAAAATAATAATAATTACCTCGTATGCAGATTTTATAGTCTCGAACATTTGATGCTTTTCGGACATGTTCTCTCCTTTGATCACATCTGGGTGATACTGCTACCCATAAAATTAAAAGAATTAAAAAATTAAAATAAATAAATAAAAAGAAAATAATAAAGTTAAAGAACTTGAATATATATATATATATATGTATACACTTCTATACAAATGCGTATGTAATTTAAAGCATTACCTTCAATGCCAATCGCCTGAAGGCATTTTTAACGTCGGACTTGGAGGCCAAAGGGGTTAGACCCAGGACGGCATAGTCGAAGTTCGCCAAACATTTTGTCGGAAATCTGACACACCGGCGAGGACTTGAAGTGGGTTTAATGACTCCGAGTCTGTGTGTTCCTCGCAAACTGCCCCCATTTCCAGTTCTGATCATCTTCTAGTTCTCGACTCGTCGGAGGTATCGGATTTGGTGTTGAATGTGAAAGGATAACAGAAGTGTAACTGTTGGCCATTGGGACCCACCAAGAAAATAGTTGTTCTAAATTCCAAAAAATTTTTTACTCATTGACACTTATTTCCGCTAAAAAAAAATAATAAAATTAACTTTCAACCACACCTTTTGTTATTATTATTATTTTCCTCAATGTACATTGCAAATCAATATAAAATTGACAAATTCAAAAAAAAAAAAAAAACATAGAATTGACAATAAATTAAACTAAATAAACATCACACGTTCATATCAATTAGGTTAGAGCCCAAATAAATTGGATTGAACTTGAAACAAAAAAGAAAATTTTGAAAGAGAGAGGACCAGATACGTATTGTAATAGAAAAGTCAAAGGCTTGTAATACATATTTTCTAATACATTTAAGCTTCTTCACTTTGCTGCAACAAGACTTAAACTATTGATCTTTTACTTTAAATGTGAAAAAGTATTTTAGATTTATAAAATTATTACACTATAATTTAGGGTAAAGTGCAAAAAAAAAAAAAATTAGTGCTATATAAAAATTGTACAAAAAACATTCATACTATTTAGTCTGTTCATATACATTCCTATAATTTAAAATCATGTAGTAAATTGCTCCTGATCGTTAATTTTGACTAAAATTATATATATTTATAAAAAATATACTTTAGGTATTTCAATCTTCAATTTTTTAAATCTCCAAAAATCCCAATTTTTTTGTAAAACCCCCCCAAAATACCCCCACATCCTCAAAAATTCTATAAAAACTCCAAGTATATTTTTATATATAAAAATACCAATTTATTTAAATCAGAATTTTTTTATTTTTCTTTTGTCTTAATAGCATTTTAGGTATTTCAGTCTTCAAAAAGAGTTTTTTGAACACCAACGAGTTTTTTTTTTTTTGGGGGGGGTGGGGGAAACTTTATTTTATAGTTTACTATCCATATTATTCTTGTAATTTATTCAAAACTATGAAGTTTTATGTTAAATGTAAAGTTTAAGGTTATATTTGTCAACGGGTTTTTGGCAATGACACATCTTAAGGTTTAAAAAAATTTCATTGAACCTTGCTGGGATGGAGCCATGGGTAAGTTTATGGTGGCCGGCGTTGGTTGGATGGCAAGCCAAACAACGTAGCAGTTGTTGTCTCTAGGAGATCCAGCGAGTAGCACAATTGGAATAAGTTAAAAAAACGATGAAGGTTGAGATTGAAATGTCACAAAGCTGAAAGATTAATCATGTTGTTTTGATTGTTTCCAGAAAGTTTTTAATCTATTGGTGGTGAATTTGAGTGAGAGTTTAGTGAAGGTTGAGACTCAAACTAGTTGTGGGGGGTTTTTTCCAAGTAAAAATGAATAGAGATATGAAAGAAGAGGGGTGTTGGTTGTGGGTGCGGTGGTGGCAAGTGTGGGTATTAGCTTGAGATGGAGAGGCTATTTTTGGTTCAAAAAATTAGCTAGAAAGGGTTATATTGGTAAATTTAATGCCTATTGACAAGTCAAATGGTTAAATGGTCATTTTGCGTGTGGAGGGGGTGTCAATGAAATTTTTTGAATCCTTGTTATTATCCAAAAATATGTTGATCAACATCTAAGTGGCATTGATCGAGACATCAAGTACTGTCAATACAATTTACTCTGAATTAAATTTTAAAAATATATATAATTCTCAGACTCATTACTTAAAGTGAATTGTCATACCTAAATTTGATTGGTCATGTATGCAAAATATAAGAAAGTAAAACTCTTAACTTTTTTATATTTGATAAAGATAATCAATCAAAACTTTTAAATTATATAACTCACTTTAAGAATTGGGCCAAATATCCCAGCTTGTATCTAACGAACAAATTGACCAAAGCCTTGTCCATATGAGACATATGCTTCAAGAGGTGTTGGTGCTAGTGTAATAAGCTTTGTTCATGTCCTCATTGAATGGTGCATTTTTGTTGAGTATAGGGTGGGCATATCAACGATCTGGTATGTTGGCAGCAGCCCATATCTTCTCAAGTTCATTACGAGACAAGATATGTTTCAAGTCGGTTTATTATGTTCGTGTAAAGTTCACGAGAGTAGGAGCCCATCACGAGATATGTTTGAAGTGGGCTCCATATTTGTGTGCGCTTTCACGTGATTAGGAGTTCCATTAGTGGGCTTGGTTTGAGAATGCGAATCCGAATATGTGTAATAAAATAATAATAATTAATTGTAATGTTTAGTTAGACCAACTTAAAATTTAGAATAGAATAAAATTTAAATTGAATTCTCTAAAATATCTAGTAATAAATAAATTAACAAAATTACATTTTTCTATAATTTTTCGGCGGCAGTGGCAACAGTGGAAGGCAGTGGCGGTGGCGGTGGCGGTGGAAAGCGATGGCGGTGCTAGTAGGTAGTGGTGGCAGTGGCGACGGTGGTAATGGTGGAAGATGGTGGTAGTGGTGAAAGTCGATGACGGTGGAAATCAGTGGGTAGTGGTAAAAGTCAATCGCAGTGGAAGATAGTGATAGTGATGGAAGACAGCAATGGTGGTTGTGGTGGTTTTTGAACTTGGAACATAAGGGTTTGTTGGGAAGTTAATTTTTTTTAAAAAAAATTACTTCAGAATGAAATGACCATTCCATAAGTTTAGTTATGAAATAGATTTTCATTTCAACAGAATAAAATGCCCATTCTCACTTTAAATTGCATACAAAATAAAATGATTGAAATTGACATTCCATTCATCTACACCATAACATATTCACATTTATTATCCAAATGTGCATATTTTTTTAATTTTAAAACAATGTCATTCCTTTTAGGAATAATTTTGTAATTTTTTTTATTTATTTACAACAATATTTTAAAAATGTATATATTTATTATATACAACTATATATAATCTTTTCCCTTCAAAACGATGGGTTCTTTAAAATATATATATATATATATATATATATATATATATATAGTATAATAGAACTCAACCCCATTTAATAAATAAATAAATCCTCCACTATATCAATAAGGAGTGTTGAGAAAGTAATTTGCCAAAAAAAAAATAAAAAATAAAAAACTTTAAATAGCGAAAAAATTACTGAATGTATAATAACTAGAAATCTTTTACCAAAAAAAAAAAACCTAGAAATTTAAATAACAAGTCCACAAAATATTCTTCTGCCACGGTCGAGTCCGCACTTTGGGAAAGAAACGAGATCATACGCCTTGAAACTACTCCGGACATCAGAACAGTCTCAACTTTAATGGCGAAATCCGAGAATTCAAAGCCGATTTCGTCAAATTTACCCCCTCTCGCCAACTCTTCCGCCAAAATCCACCCAGCAAACGATGCCGAAACTGATCCCAACTCCTACTCGCTCGAGAAATTCAGACTCTACGAAACCAAAGCGGTAAGAAAAGAATTTCAATCTCGTGCTTGTTTCTCAAGAAAATGCCCTCGAAAGGAAAGTAAAATGAAAAAAATTTGGTTGTGTAATCAATATACAAATGTAAATTATTAAAAAACCCTTTTGATTTAATTTACATTGGTTTGTGTTCTTTCCCGAGTAGAGGTTTTATCTGATTGGGAGTGATCGGAACAAGAGATTCTTCAGAGTGTTGAAGATCGATCGTATGGAACCGTCTGATCTCAATATCAGCGAAGACCCAGTGGTCTACACGCCGCAGGAAGTCAAGAGCTTGCTTCAGCGTATTGCCGAAGGCAATCGTGCCACCGGAGGGTTAACGTTTGTGGCAAAGGTTTATGGCATAGCTGGTTAGTTTTGGTCACCTTCTGTGTTTAGTTTTGGCCACATTTTGTGTTTAGTTGAATCTAAACTATGTTTCAATTGTTTTGTTTTAGGTTGCATTAAATTTTTGGAGTCATATTACTTGATTCTTGTGACAAAGCGTCGGCAAATCGGATGCATTTGTGGTCATGCAATTTATGGTATAGATGAGACCCAATTGATTTCAATTCCGCATGTCTCGATTCAAACTGATGTTGCTCATTCTAAAACTGAGCTGAGGTACTTCAATGTGTTCTTTGGCCCCATATTTTGGCATTCTGTAGTTACATGTAGTATTCTAAAACTGATGTTATGAACTGTAAGTTCTTTCTTTATTAATTTTAGTATACACAGTTGCCATGAAGAGCACCAAAGAGGGCCTTGGTTCATTTACCCATGGCTGTTCAAATTATCATGCATTGCATAACTAACCTGATTTCATCCGCTTTTTCTCTTTGGCACAATGATTGCTTGGTTTTTGCTATGTATGTGTGCGCTTGCATGTGCAATTATATTATATAACATATTTATTTAACATTCACATGGTAAACTGAAAATAAATACAGTCTATTGTCTTTCCAAATCTATGGCCACAAATATATTATTTTCACTAGTTTTTTTTTTGGGTTTAACTTTTTCTTCCAGTCATAGTCATGTCGTGAGTACTTTGTTGAGGTAGTTTATTGTCATGAAACTCTTGAGAGCTTGAATATGGATGTGCTCAAAATCAAGTTTTAATAAAACCTTTCAATTATCAGATCATTTGTTTATATATATATATATATATTATTAATTTGATGCATTGAGTTATATTCACGTTTTAGTCCATGCTATAATGTGAAGGCAGAGTGTAATGACTTAGTTTTCCATGCCTTACATAGCTGTGTTTAGAAGTAAAATTTCCTTGTATAAATGTACATGAATTTGGTCACACTTCCCATACGACCTCTTTTTTTTTTGGTTTTCTTGTTTGTTTTGGTTGGGGAAGGGGAGAGAGGGTGGACGAGAAATGAAACCTTTAATCATAGAGGATATAAATGCAAGTCGGAAGAGGAAGGCCTTATGAATGTGATAGCGAGTAATCAATTAGTGCTTGAAACCTACAGCGAACAACCAGGAGTAAAATAAGCAATTGACTGTTTGAGGAAAAGACCACCAAGGTGATGATGTGTCCAAGAAAAACTCTTTAAATTAGGGATATTTGGGAGCATAATTGGTCCATAAGTCTCCGGTGCTTGATTGAGCATTCAAATTTAGATTAGTTCTAGCACCTTCCTCATTCAAAAAGAATTCTTTTCTAAAAAGCTCTCCGCTTATTTAATATATTCAAAAGATTACTCCAGCACCTTAAGCGCCTGTTTGGTTCTGCTTTTTAAAACAATTCTCAAGAACTCACAAAATAGAGAACTATTTTCACATTCAGAAAACAAATTTCAGAAAACTGACAACCAAACAAGTATTTTTTGTACAAAATTTTTAGTTCTCTGAAAAAAGAAAATTAATTGTCAAAATTTGAACCACGGGGAAATTTCTCCTTTTTTCTGGTTCAGTGTACTTGAGCTATTTTATTTATTTGAACTCATTTTTTGTCCTGCGCATGTGTTGTGGTTTAACTTTTTTCTTAGAAGTTAGTGTAAGCTGTAAAGGAAGGGTATTTAAGCCTAAGTGGGAGGGGCTGAAACAATTGAAATTATATATTTTATTTTCTACCTAAGCTTTCTAGCACCAACTGCATAAAACCTTTTGATGAACAAAGAAATGAAACTAACAAGGAATTAGACAAAAGGTTAATACACTATTTAAGGGACTTGGAAGCTAATTGGTTTGACTAAATAATACCCAGACCGACCAACTAGGAAGCACAAACATGCCTAAAAAGTCAAAGAACCCTTGTCGGAGACATGCCTAGATTTTTTATTTTTTTAAATTTGCGGACACAATGCAGACACGACATAGATATGCCATGGACACGTGTCTGACACGTGTGTTGCATTGTTAGGGTTTTAAGAAAGTTTCCGAAAAGAAAAATAGGTTAAAGTGTAAATATGATGATTTCTATGAACATTTTTAATTATATGGACCATATAGTGGTCATAGTATAAAATACTTAAAATTTTTGGTTTAAAACACAATGACTATTGTTGTTATGGAGTAGATTCGTTTTTGTAGTTTTTCAAACTATTATAATTGAAAAATAGTATTACACTTAAAATACAGGATGTTATACATAAGAAGATATATTTAGTAGTCGTCGTATCCTGGCCAAGTCCATGTCTTAATTTTGTATGATTTGTCGTGTCTCCGCATCCGTGTCCCATATACGTATTCGTGCTTCTTAGCCGGCCAAGATCATCATCATTTATGTATTTCACTTCGTCAATATTTTAAAGTATACATGAAAACTGAAATAGTATAAACGATTGCATGCTTCACAGTTCATTGCTCTTGACAGTACAAGAAGTGATAATAAAAGTGGGAATGCTGTAGCTAGAGCGAACCACACAAACAGGGGTGATCTATGATCCTGTTGGTTTGTTGTGGAAAGTTTCAACATGGAGTTTTTGTGTAGCTATATGCGTGGGGGCAAGATATACACAACTTACGAGCTTTTAGGCTGTCCTGTGTACCAACTGATAAAAGGACCATTTCCAATGGAACCTCTAGGAATGCTCTTAAATTTCATTTAACATTTTTATGTTTGTAACATGTGGTGGGAAATATAATCTTAATAAAGGTCTGTTATGTGGTTCTGTTGGTTTTAAAATGTGGATTGTTTGTGTCCATCTGACAGTGTTTAGTAACAGATCATTAAAATCTTTCAGTTCTTCTTATTTAATTCATTTGACTAAACTGCAGGTACAAGAAGCTTCTATCCAGTGTCGATTTGACAAAAGATTTTTTCTACAGTTATACATATCCTATAATGCAAAGTTTACAAAAAAATGTGTTGTCAATGGGTGTGGAAGGGATGCCATACGAGAATATGTTTGTGTGGAATGCTTTTTTAACACAGGCAATTCGATCACGATGCATGAATACTATTTGGACAATTGCGCTAGTTCATGGGAATTTTAAGCAGGTATCTTACTTTCTCCACTGGTTACGTCTTTTGGTTTCTCATCTCATCTTTTGTGGACTTGATAGAATATTAGTGCTACTTAAACAATTTTATTCTAGTTCTTTATCCTCGTTGTTTACTCGTATAAAATAACCATGGCATATGCTCCTAACTTTTCTTCTTTAATCCTTTCTCTCTTTTTTCTAGGCCCGAAAGGATCTACCTTATTTAGTAAGGTTCCTTAGAGAGTTGGAGGTCTTAATATGCTATTTTATTTTTTTCACTATATCTCTTTGGCTTGAGTTGAAAGCAACCACTTTGAATAAATAATGCCGAGGTTAGGTTTGTATTCAGTTCATCCCTCCAAGCACCTTTGATTAATGAGGGCCAACACTGTATTATGGCACTTCTTTTTTATATTTTGAGACTCTCGCTCGTAATAGCTTTCAAATGAGTTCTCTGGGTAATAATTCTTGAAATTATATAGAAGAAGTGAAATGGTTATCTCCTTGGTTGGGTAAATTACCTTTCTTTCTTCTTCTCCCTTTTTTTTTTTTTTTTTTTTTTCTTTCCCCAGGTTTCATCCTCAGCAAAGTATATGGGTTTATTTCTTACTTTGTTAATGAAAGGATACTGAAGCACTTTTAACATTGAAATGCAATTATTCAGTGATTATATTTTAAAATGCTTAAATTCGCCAATAAATTTTTTTCCACTGTTTTTATAAGGACCAATTTAACAGAAAAAATTTGATGGTAGAATCTTATTATTTCATTAAAACTTTTTATGGCCTTTTCCTATTAATTTTTTCTTAGAAAAGTGTTATTGATATATTATTTATGTGATAGTTGAGGTTCGGTTTTGAAATAACATAATAGGGATATCCATCTATTGTTGTTTGTTCTAATTTGTTTGATAAGGATGTCTTCGTTATCTCTATAATTAATTAATAACATATACATATATATTTACCTTGCAAGGAGGGGGGAGGGAGGGGGAGGATGGGGTGAGTCGAACCTAGGCTTCCACACGACTTTGGGAAGTGCCTCTACCAACTGGGCTACCCAGCTCACCCCTATATCATAACATATTTAAGGGACTAATTTTGGTGCGCTTGAATCTAGTGCATTGCTTTATCCACTAGTCTGAAGAGAATATTTGTTTATTACAGAGAATATCTCCTACTGAAATACAACTCACCCGATTCATAACTTATTTAGATGCAAGCTCAATTAGGTTATTGGAGTCCAGTAACTTACTCACAATGTAAACTATATTAACTAGTCAAATAGGGTTTCTTGATTCACAAAAAAATTTCCATGGGGCATACACTTTGCCATACTAATACACTTTTATATATTGTTGTGTGTATATATATGCATAGTAAATGTATGTATTATGAACATAAATATATATAGATATATCTACAATAGAGCAAATGATATATGTTTGCTTGATCATATTATTGTAAAGCATATATCAATTGTGCGATACATACTGCATGTGGATCCTATTGAATTCAATTATTGCAGATTCGGCTTTCAATCTTTGGAAGAGACTTCAGTGTTTCTCTGGTTTCTAGACGATCTCGGCATTTTGCCGGCACACGGTATGATTTAGTTTAAGTAACTTCAGTTTACTGATTTCTGAAATCACCTTACATTATCTACAACTTCTTGTTTGCTTACTGAATGGCATGGCATCCAAAAGCTTTTGATTTCTACACTTTCTCACTTGCGCCAGCTTTTCAAGTACTTGTTTAAACTGTCATAAATTAAGTGGCTAAATATCACAGAAGATGAAATTTTAGCCCTTATTTTTTATTAGTTGAAATGGTTTTTGGAGAAGCTTCCAAAATTTTCCGTGATGTAATTATTTATTATCATATGAGCTCCAGTGATTTGTTTGGAGTGGCTCTTACAAGTCCGTGGCCTTAATACTCTCTGGTAAAATAAAATTGTTGACTCCTTTATGATTCATCATTACTCTTTTATGTTTCACGCAGCTGTACTCATAGTTATGGTTTAGTTCAAACTCACCCTTACTGCCTTACCCACCTGTCGACTAACTAATTAGAACTTCATTATAATAGCAAAAAAACTTGTTGTCAAATGTTTCATAAATATAATTGGAAGATTGTAAAATTTTGTAACCAAAGGGATACACTTAGAGAAATAAAGCGGAACTTATTTAGATAAAAATATAAGCCCAAAAAATAATGATTGTGTATATCACAAGCCAATACATTCTCTCTTCTGCATAGTAAAAGTGTAAGAACATTGTAAAGTGAATATGGGACAATGGATTAAAGCTAAAATTCGTGAAGCAATTAGTGTGGTTTTTTTTTTTTTTTTTTGTGTGTGCGTGCGCGCATCTAATCAAATATGAATACTGTAATAAATGATGTATTTGCATGATTTTAATTATTGTTTTTTTTTTTTAATTATATATATATATATATTTTTTTTGATAAGTAAGAATTGTATAAAAACGTTCAAGAGGGGAGCGCATCCCAAAGGAACAACAAAAAGCAAAAACCACTAAGCCTTCAAAGAGGCCAAAAAATCTACAATGTCCTCAAGTATGTGATTGGAAAACAGGGCACCATTTAGGTTCTGACCAATTTTGATGGAGTGAAGGGGCTTATATCATTGACCCATTGCAGTAGCAGGTGAAGAACTGCACTCCTGACCATTCCCTTCTTTATTTTGCTTTTAGAAAAAGAAAAAAGAAAAGAACATAAGGAAAGACTGGTGCAAGATAAAATTGGGACTTATATTAAATGAGATTATAAGGTTGGTTTGGAGACCCTAGAGGATATACTTGGAGAAGCCGAAAAACTGGTTAGCTGAGAATGGCTTGATTGAGTTGGAAATTTATTGCGTTTGGTATAGTTATTTAGGTAGACTGATTAACTTACTCCTGGATTCAGGCATTAAGTGCCAATTTCTTCCCCCATTAAACCAACATGATAAGTTTTGAATGACTTCAGTGTTTTTCAAGTCTAAACAACTCACTATAAGTCATCGACTCTTCATGTTCCTTTGTCACTTACATTTTGAGTTTTATTTATTAAGTTCTTTTAACAACTCAATATTTTACTGTGAAAATTTTAGTATTCTTTATGAGTTTTTGGTAAGTCTTGAATGACTTCAGTGTTTTATCAAGTCTAAACGAGTTCAGTTGGGAAGCATAGAATTTTACTACTGGGGCTTCTTAATTATTGTTTCAGCGCACTCTTTGCTATGGTTAGTCTAAATGTCAAGGCATGACAAAATGCTGTGAGGTTTATGAGAAATAGGATGCATAGTGCTTGAGTTGATCAATGTTTCTAATAATAAAAAAAGTAAATTTGGCAGTTTTTTTTTTGGCCAGTAAGGCCTAGCATCATAGAGCAGTTGTTTCATGGAGGCGTATTTGTGGATTTGACAATATGGATCTTATGGGGGCATTATGGACCTGATGTGGTCTAGCATTGGGTTTTTGGGTGACCACATACTTGAGCAGGACTGCAGGTTGCACTTCTTATAGCACCTTCCCAATTTTTCTTTCCCTTTCTATTAATGTGTCTTCAGAAATTTTACACGTGCAAATATGTGTGTGCCCAATTATTTGTTTTCCTATTGTGATACTTTGCATACGTGCATATTCATATATTATAGAGATGCATGAATGTTTTTGGGTCTAAATGCCACTTTTTGGAGTTCATGCCCAGTTTCTCTTTCCCCTTAAGCTAATGTCCTATGCCTTGCACAATATGCAACTGCTTGCAGGAGTTTGTGAGCATTCAAAATTTTCAAAATGTTTGTTTTCCTCTCCTTAAATATATGTGGATATAAAATTACAAGATTATGTACAGGCACCTGTGTGCATGCATTTTCCATAAATAATTCATTGTTTCTATGAAGGAAGGACTCCTTTTTCATTATGCTGCATTTTTTCTTTTTATTTTCGGGTTTCTTCATATGTTCTAAGTTCAGGGAAAGACCAAAGGAGGAAGATCAACAAATCAGGTCAGCCCCCCATCTCCATTCTTGGGAATTTAGTCTTTTTCATGTTTCTACTTTTAATGGCCAAAAAACAAAAATATTTTATTTAAAACTGATTTTTAAATCCACATGTTTTAAATCAAAATAATTAACTATGGTTTTCTCCCCAAATCCCTACCCACATTGTTAATGTATTTTGTGTTCACAAAGCTTCTAGGCTCAAAACCTGCAGGTATTGAATCTACTGTTATGCAGCATATTCTTTCAGCTATTTTTTCTTCAGTTTTGTTTGTTTGACTTGAAGTGTGGATCTAAGTTTGGGTTGCTTATGCTGTATCTGTTGTCATTTTTTCGTTCTCCATTGTGATTATTTCTTTGGATTGTTTATGTTATATTGTCAATCCTTGTTTTCCCAGGTTTTTGACCTAATCTGTAAATGGATTACGTGCTAGGTACAATATAGAAAGAGTTATAATTATGTTATCATCTTTTTATTGTTATAATTATAATTGCCACTAGTTGCTGTTATAATCTCTTATCATTTGTTACACGGGTTTGAGTCATTGAGAATCTGGCTTTGATGCTTGCCTTTACCTTTGTCTTTATAGAATGGTTGGAATATACTAGTTTCCTAAATGATGCATTGTGCACATCTTGAATTTTGTTTTTTTTTTTTTTTTTGGTCTGTGGTTTTATTTTTGATTTATACCTAAATATAAGAGTTGAGCGATTTTAAGAACAAAAAAAATGTGTTTATGTGGTGAGAGTAAAATAAAAAAAAATAAAAAATGGAACCAAACATTTGAATGAATCAGACACTAAAGTGACACTTTAACCTTCGTATCTCCTCCTGTTTGGGTTGGTGCTTCGGTGATTGCTTATTATAGGGGCTAGGTCCAGCACTTTGATTGCCTAGTCTCATTGACATTGTGGAGTTAGGGGGTTGATGAGTGAAGGGTAAAGCCACATCCCTCGTAGTACAGTTGTATGGGCATTTGGAAAGGACGGTTTGGTGTTTAGGATTTACTGTTGATTAACCACAAAACAAGTGTATTGTAGAGAACCAATACAAAAAGGGGAAAGACCTGGATGGGATTCATTAGTTTCCTTGTGACTCCTGCTGAATTGAACAATATCTACCTCATACCATATCACACCATATTTTCCTCTTTGAAATTTTCACTAATTTTACATTGAAGAGTATGTAAATAACTTTTAATCTGTTTACTCCCATACTTTAAGGGAGGTGATATCGACTTTTCAATAAATGCACTGAACTTTTCCAGAAAAATGACATTATTGTCTCCAACTTCATAAATAAGAGAATCAAACATTTATGAGATTAGAGACATTTCTGTCATTTTCTTTATAAAAAGAAAAAAAGTGCAGTGTGGATTTCACCTCCCTACTTTAATACAGAGTTTGTTATATATATTGGGATAAAAGTGAAAGTAATTGTGTTTCTGTGGCTTCATTGTTTTGTTTGTTTCTGTGGATGCAGTTATTTGAAAAGGGGAGTTAATGATCGTGGAAGGGTTGCAAATGATGTTGAAACAGAACAAATCATCCTAGATGAAGAAGCTGGATCATGCAAAGGAAAAATGAGTTCTGTTGTGCAAATGCGGGGTTCAATTCCCCTTTTCTGGTCACAAGAAGTTTCAAGATTCAGTCCTAAACCTGATATAATCTGTAAAACAATCAAAAAAATTCACCTGATTATTTTGTCACCAATTTTTTTGCATTGCATCCTCGGTTTATTGTTCTATTTCTTACCCTATTTCAAATAAACTTGTGATTGTTCCTTTTTTTACTTCAGTGCAAAGATATGATCCTACATATGAAGCCACCAAACTGCATTTCGAAGACCTGGCAAAGAGATATGGCAATCCTATTATTGTGCTTAATCTGATCAGGGTTTGCTTTCTAATTTATTTTTAATATTGACTAGCAACAGTGTATACTCCTTTGGCTTTTGGAGCTCCTTGCATGATAATTTTTTTTTTATTTTGGAACTGATTGATAATCATATTGAATTTGTTGAAGCTTGTGATGTTTGATGGCATTCTTTAAGGTGTAATTTTCTCATTTAAGCAAGTATGGTTGACATATTATTTATCTGTTACAATACACTGCTTTAATTTTTTAAAATTATATTCAAGTGTGCAGTGAGGGACATCTAATAGATGGCACTTGTTTTGTCGATTTTTGTTTAAACTGCAGTGATTGCATATTTCTGCTTTAAGATATTTTGAGACTCAAATGTGTATTATGAAATGACTTGTGTATGTTTTTTTTTTTGCTTGTCAACTCAAGTAAGAAATGACTAGAAAAATTACGAGTTATTTGTTCCATTCTAGCAAATTTAACGTTGATTATTAGTATTGCCAATATTATGTTCCATTTACAACCTGAAAGTATCAAACTGAGTTTGCTCAAGTCTCCACACATTTACTTATTATCATGTTCTAAGAAGCTAGTAAATGACAGATGAAACCCCAGTTATGATGAAGGTGGCACTCCATCTGATTGGAATTTAGAATTTTAAATCTCTTCTTAGAACACATTGTTATGAAACTTCTTGTTACGTGTTGCATCTTTCCAGGTATGGTAACGGCAGCTAGAACTTGATTAACTTGCTGGTGCATGGTTGAAACTTTGAACTTCTGAAATTGCACAAATAATTTCTGATTTGGGAGGTTGGAACAGGATTGGACTGCTATTTAAATTTGGGAGTTCTACTATGAGACACACACACACACACACACACACACAAGAGCCCCATATTATTGAAGCCAAATTTGATATTTGTCAGCAGTTAGAATCACCAATTTTCACTGATGCATTCATTTATTGTAGTGTCCTTTATGATCTCGTCGCCCATTGTCCTTCCATCCATCTAACATACTCATTTTGTGGCATATTCCTTCATTAGTGTTTATTTTTACTGAGCGTGCATGGTCTTTTCTTTTCTTTTTTTAATTATAATTTCACTTTGTCATAGTTGAATGTTGTGCACCACTTTTTACTAGGAAATTGTTCATATTTTACATTGTGTACATATACATATGTGTGTCGGTGGGTGATGGATGTTGCTTTCTTATATGACTTCTAATACTTATATGGATGAAAGTAGGATACATATTAACTTGCTTCTCCTTAAATTGATTGTCCTTAGTTAATTGAATAATTTTTGCTTGTGTGGTGTTATTGTTTCATTGCTCAATGCTCATCCTATTTTAAATGTAGAGATATTCTCTTCTAGGTCAAGGGAGGGTTGACTTGGGCCACATTAATCTTGAATTTAGATGTCGAAGCCCTCGCTTAGTATCATTCAAGTTGTAATAGTGTTTGCTTACTTTTAAATGTTAAATTGCAGACTGTTGAGAAAAGGCCTCGAGAAATGATGCTAAGGCGTGAGTTTGCTAGTGCGGTCGGGTATCTAAACCAGATTCTTTCAGAAGAAAATCATCTTAAATTTATACACTGGGACTTCCACAAGTTTGCAAAGAGGTAAGCATGTGACATGGCATGCAATAAACCTCTTCTTTCCTCTGGGCTAACTATTCTGTTTCTTTTCTTTTTTCAAGCAAGTCTGCCAAAGTTTTGGCAGTTTTGGGTGTTGTTGCGAGTGAAGCACTTGATTTAACTGGGTTCTATTATAGTGGGAAGCCTGCCACTGTTAAAAGGAAAGCCAGTCAACTCAGTCGAACAAGCACTGGGAGGTACCACATCTCTCGCTTTAACTTATGTATATTCATTGTGGTGGTTTTAGTGTTTGAAAAATACCAAAATTTTGTACCTTTAAAAAAAACCAATATTTTTTATTTTGTTGTGATTGTTTTGTAATAGAAGCTATCTGAATTTCTTTCTCACTGTTTCTGCTGATGAGTGCTTTTGGGGGGCCCTGTAAATTGATACTCAACTAGTTTCGTCCTAATATATTGAGATATCTCTCAATGCATTCTTCCATGTAGTACATATTGAGAATGGTTGTCCAATGCTGAATCTTGTGCTATGCATATTGCATATAGTTTGTGGACGTGAACGTATAATTTTAGTGTCTTACAGCTCATTCTTACTTCTTCCAGAGATGCTTCTCTTAGAGATCTGAGACCTAATTCAGGGGACCTTGCAAGGATTGGAAGTAGTAATGATAGTCTGAATTCTTTGATGAAACAAGATAGGGAGTCTGATAGGAGTCAACAGACTAGGAAGAATAATTATGGTGGTGCAGCACCACAGTTTCAAAGTGGAGTTTTGCGCACTAATTGCATTGACTGCTTGGATCGTACAAATGTTGCCCAGTATGCTTATGGTCTAGCAGCTTTAGGCCGCCAACTCCGTGCAATGGGTTTGACAAACGAGCCCAAAGTTGATGCAGAAAGTACCATTGCTGTGGCTTTGATGGATATGTATCAAAGCATGGGTGATGCACTTGCCCAGCAATATGGTGGATCCGCAGCTCACAACACTGTATATTCCCATACTGCGATATGCTTTCGTGACTTATAATATTTTTTTTTTCCTGTCAAAATATTTATAAATTGTTGATACTAGTAAACTATGGGTATATTGTTCAACCAGTGGTTTTATTATGAATCCAGGTGTTTCCAGAGAGACAGGGAAAGTGGAAAGCTACAACCCAGTCCAGGGAATTTCTAAAATCTATCAAGCGATACTACAGCAATGCTTATACTGATGGTGAAAAGCAAGATGCAATTAATTTGTAATAATTTCTCCTCTTGTATACTTGTATCTTCTGGGAGTCTCTGTGTTTCCTCTATAAATACCATTAAAAAATGTGACTAAAATTACAATACAAGTGGCTCCCCCCATTGTTTCTCACAGAGTTATAATTATTTATTTACTCATTATTATTCTTAGTGGGGTTGAATCAGGAGGAAGCTAGGATGCTCAAATTTAACATTTCACTATTATCGTACTTCTGAATCTATCTTCTTTTAGTGGTAGGTAGGGGAAACTAGGATGAAGCAAATTTAAGATGCTTTTTTTCATGCTTCTCAATCCATCTTCTTTTGGTGGTTTTTACAGATTTCTGGGTTACTTCCAGCCTCAGGAAGGAAAACCTGCACTTTGGGAACTGGATTCTGATTATTATCTCCATGTATCTGGGATTGGAGATGACCTTGTCCCCATTAACTGGTAAACTTTGAATGTACTTTAGATCTTTGGCCCCTTATTGTATCAGTAAGTCAAGTTAATTTGACTCATCTGACTTAACCATGAGAATGGTAGGTAGGAGCTGTTGATTAGCTTATAAGTTGATGTGAAGTTATTGTTTTATCCCTTTTTTAAACATAAGTAGAAGTTGTTACGAGCTCAGGTTTTCAAGTTTGAGAATGTTAATTTAAGACTAAAGGCAATCTCTTCGCGCCAATATTGCTAAACTTTAGGTAAGTAACTAATTTAATTCACCCAATGCCCCAGACTGGGAAGTGGGGATGGCTTTCTATGTCTAATTTAGTCATTTATGTTATACATCCATAAGGAGGGTTGGGTTAATGTTCTAATACATACACAAAAACACATTTTCCCATAGATTCAAATATTCAATAAAATTATAGGCATCCACCAGATCCCCTCATGCTAGACATGGTTATATTCAACTACATAGATTGTTTAAGCACTCATGTAGACAAAACTTTGTAGATGCTTACATGTGCAGATTCAACTGTTAGTTCCCAATGTTCCTTTTACATATTGTTTGTATCATTATATATTTATACGTATTTGTTATTAATTCCAATTTGTAGTTCCCCAGCTGATGCTAAGCCTGTAGGAGAAGGAACCACTCTTGCTCCTATTCCAGCTTGCAAGGAGGACTTTTTGCGAATGAAGTTGACATCGTTTGATAAATTGATAGACAAAACATGCAGTTCAATAAAGAGTGTAAGGCTTTGCAGTGAACCTGCAGATCAAAAACCTGGGAATTCTGGAATGGCACCAGATGCAGTGTAATTATCTCCCTTTTATATATATATATATATATATATATATATATATTTGTGTGTGTATTGGTTTAGTATCCTATTCTGAACACACACACACACACACATATATATATTTATGTCTAATTATCTCCATGAATGTTAGTTGTGTATTTCTTTTTCCTTTTCTTCCTCCGTGCTCTGACATGTTCGATAAATATTGTAAGAACCCTGCAGTTTTTCATGTTAGCAGTTTTTTAGTTAAAGCATAGCAGTGATATTTGTATTTACATAAAGTTATATCCTCTTTAGGTCTCTCTTTTGCTATAAAATTTGTAAAGATTTTCCTGAGCCCCATTTTTAATATACATAGTACATGTTCTTTTCCACTCATGCCTTGTGGTAATCCATGTCTCTCCCTAACATGCATCTTTTTGGTGATAATCTCATGCATATCTTTTCGTTTTTACGGTTTAAGGGGGCTTCGTTAGGACTCTTCTATAAATATTATATGAGTTTGTTTAGGCCTTTTGAGTTTTTAGCACTTACATGCTTGGTGTACACATGGGTTTTTTTTTTCCCTTGGGCACTTTTAATGGTTACTTGTCAAGACAAGAAAAATAGTATTGTGTTTTTTATTTTCCACAGAAAGGTTGTTACTGTAAGTTCTAATTGGACTGAGGAGAAATCTGATTTTTCCCCCCTCTGCTGGCTTATGATTGTTTACTAAGCCAAGTAAAGATACGTAAAATTTATTATTCTATTAGAAAAAGAGATGTTTAAATTATTTATTTATGATTTCCGGCAGGTAAATCACACTCTCACACACCTATTTGTCCCATGCCCTCAACCATCCATTTGGAAGGAAGAGAAGGTACCATTTGGGTTATAAGCCCTTGGTGGTATTCAAATTAATTTTTCCCTGCTGATGAACAAACACAGAAACATCAATTTTCATATCAACTTTACCATTTCTGAACTAGATTTGTTTGTTGCAGGCTTGCAGCTATGTATTTGGAGTGCTTTTCTACAGTTCAATAATGTGGGCAAATTCTATCAGTGAGTGCTGATACATAATACATATTTTTTGCAGTGAAATACAGCTCAAGACTCCAAATTGGCTTTTTGGACAGAGGAAGTTTGAGGACAACATTTCTGCTCCCAAAGTGGCTGCACAAGAAATTACCAATGAAGGGTCTCAAGAGGAGAAAAAAATAGATGACTTCTGTGACCTAAATTGGCTTTCTTCTATTGGTGATGCCAATGAACAGGATGTCTTTGAAAGGTATTTCTATTGAAACCCATTCTCATTTGTCCCAAGATAGAGATATGTTTAATGTTCATTGTTTATTAGGATTTCATTGAGCTGAGCTAGCATGCTTCCCTGCTACATAGTTCATTAGAAGCCAGCAGAAGGCTTAACTGGAAGGCTGATAAGTTGAGCCAGAGGCTTAAATTCTGCTTACCTTACTTAAATTACGGATATAATTTACGTGTCATCTGCAAATAGTATACCATTTTTCCTGATTTATCCTTTTCCTTTTATAGAAAAAAAGTGATTGTTGATATGAAATCTGTTGAGAGTGCAGTAAAGGTGGAGTGACAATAACAAAAAATAGGACTGAAGATTAAATATAATACTTACCTCTATGGAGAAAGTAGTGTTAAGAGGTTTGAAAATGTTACAACACATTTAACTTCTATGTCTGGCTTCTAGCAGGGCCGGCTGGAGCCTTAGCTGACTTAGGCGGTCGCCTAAGGCCCCCCAAAATTTTTATTTCCTTATATTGTTACCTCTCTAAAATGTTTATTTAATTATATTGTTAGACCCCAACCAAAAGCAGATATTTAATAGTGGACCCAAAAGAATTTAATTCATTCTAAACTTTTTTATTCTACTTTGTATTAAAATTCTTAATTTCTATCTTTATGTCACTTTTTTTCCCCCTCGTTCCACATTTTTTCTTCTTCTCTATCATCAAACAAGCAGTATAAATTATTGAATAAACATTTTAATAAAACTTTCTATTCCTCACTTTTTTCCCCTTCTCTTGCGTCATAACGTTTCCTCCACTCTCATTACAACGTGACTTTTTTTATTTTATTTCTATCCTCCACTTATTACAGACACAAGACTCTCCATTTCCCTCCTCTCTTGTTACAATGTTTTTTTTTTTTTTTTTTTTCTCCACTCATTACAACCTCAATATCTCACTTCTCCATCTGAACTCACTTTTTCTCACATATTTTGGATATTTTGGGACTCTTCAAGGATTTGAAGGTAGCAGTTTTTTACAAAATATGAATAAAACGATATTTTTCACTTAAGCCCTCAAATTATATTGAGCCCCCCTTGAGTCCTTGGCTTCTAGTGAACCATAAGAAATGTATTCGATATCATACATCAAACAAGAAATGGTATGGCAGATCCATCATCACCTGTCCAGCACATCTATGTTCTGCTGGATGCTGTAAAGTATAGCTAACAAAAGCGTAGTGGGGTTGGCTTATCGTAAAGATTACACTTGAAATTAGGATACATTGTGATGTAGTCCATAAGATGTCCAAGGGAAAACGAATTTGACGGTGATCCCTCTTGTACTTGTGGATATCTTTCTTGTTATCTTGTTTTTTGTTTGTGGGTTTTGATTTTGATTCAGTTGAATTTTGTTGTTGGGTGGTGATCTGGAAGAGTGACTTATCTTGTATTAGTTATTTGAGAGTGATCCCTCTTGTATTCTGTTTGAGCTGCTTGTTTTAATAAAATGTGAATTAGGAAAAAAAAAAAATTTGAAATTCATCATCATTATCATCCTTGGCCTTTTCTCATATGAATGGGTCAGCCACATGAATTCTCTTTATCCATTTTATTCTATTATACGCCATGTCTCCTCTAATATTTTATTTTTTGAAGTCATTTTTAATTATTTCATTTCATGTTAGTTTTGGTTGGCCTCGACTTCTCTTACATTATATGCAAACTAATCTTCCCTTTCTTATGGGCTCTTAAAGGGGCCAACATTCTATATACCACCTAAGTATATATTCTCTTCTTTTTTTCCCTAATAGGTGTTATTCCTAATTTCCCTCACACTTCGATTGGTTAATTTTTTTTTTCTAGTCACTCCTATCATCCACTTTAACATCTTCATTTCAGTAGAATGTGACATACTTGTTTCTTTTTTAATGCCCCTACACTCCTACAAAATTTCCCTTTAACTTGTTTGGTATAAAATGAATTCAAAGGTAATCTTATATATTATTTAAGGTTTCAAGCAAGATGGACCTGAAACCTCTTGCAATGGTGTTTTTTTAGTTTAGTTTGTTTTAGGTGTATATACAGTCAGTCTGTTCTATTTGTTTTTTTCTTCTTTAATATTAGGAGTCAATGTTCTGTATCAGTTAAAAAATATGTCAATACTTTCAAAAGTTGATGTTCAGGTCCTGTCAGAATCTGGAGTTCATGTGCGTCTAACTCTTTCTTGTCAATGGAGGACATTTTTAGAGGATATTTCTATGAATTTGTATTATTTGAGGATTGTGTGATGCAATTCTAACCTTAGTGTGATGCTTAAGGAATCTTGAAGCGATTGTTATTTAGTTTCTCCTATTCCTCTTAACACTTTGCAATTTTTTTATTAAAAAAATCAAAATTATGTGCATAATTTTAAAGCTTAGTTGCATAAACTTTATCCATTCTCTACCTTAAACCTTTACCTTAACACAATATATCTATAAGAGTTAAAGTCCAGAAGTTTTGGCAAACCTTTTCTGAAATTTCAGCAACCTTCGTATCAATAAAGAAATTCTTGCAACCTTTCACTAAAGAACCAATAAAACTCTAACCCCTTTCCATCTACAAAACTAACAAGCTTCTTTCATTATCTAGATCGTAATTCACAAGCTTTTAGTAACTTTAGCTCACCAAATAAAGGATGATTGCTTTGCATATATGAAAGACGGAGAGGCCAGGCAAAACTAAAATGGGAAGAAGTAATTAGAAATGCTTTTGAAAAATTCAAATATAACAGAAGTCTTGACTTGTAATATGAAAGGGTAGAGAGAGAGAGAGAGAGAAAGAGCTCATGTGACCACCCACATTCAGATAAGATAAAGGCAAGGATGATTGTTTGCAGATCTGGTTGGTTTCTATACTAAATAAAATATGAAACAATTTATAGCAATATAGATATTATGTGAAATATGGTTATGAAGTTATAAGCAAACTATATTTCAGTTTTGCAGGCAAAGGCACTGGTTTGGATTTCATACTTTTTCTTTTTTCATTTTTCTCCAATATTATATATTAAAAAGTGGGACAAGAGTAGTCGTATTACTTTGTTGCTATATCTCAACTCCTTTCTATGGTATATTCTTTGGGTATGTAGTTGATAAATAATGTATTGTTAATGTACTTTCCAGATACCTTGCCATGACCTCAGTAGATGAAGCCAATGGTTGGTATGGTGGTTCGTTGCTTGGTGATCAAGATGAAAGCAGTGAGATATATAAGCATTATGCTGAACTGTGTCAGGTAGTATAAAATTCCTTCCCTGTTGAGCTCCAGTAATATTTACTTTTTCCAGTACCTATGGTAGGTTATATATATATTTTTTCCTGCAAGAGTAATTTACTGTTGCAAAAATAGTGATTCTGATTGGCTATGACAAGAAAATTATCCTTGTAATCTTTTCACAGTATTTGTTTCTATTTTTTCTGTTAATTATTATTATTTTTTTAAAGCATTGTTTCTACTTTCTGATTTGATGATGAGTATGATGTTGTTTCTACTTGTAGCCAAGTTGTGCTTGTTTGTTGTCTCCATATAGCCATATAGAATAAGAATAGCTTCTGATAGGGATTTTAAGAAATAGGGACTCCAGCAGTAAGAAAGAGTCACTCAGGGAATCGGTGGATCACAAACTTGGAGACAAGGACAGGGGCACGCCTTACTATTTGTCAAGTATACAAGTGTTGAAATAGTGAAGTCTGGGCACAACGGTAAACGTGAGGCATGGGACCTCCAAAGCAAGTGCTGAAAGAGTGAAGTCTGGGGACAACGGTAAACGTGAGGAATGGGACCTCCAAAGCTAGTTGCTTCCCTGATGTATCTTGGAAGTTATTTTAATAGAGTAATGCCATCAAGAGAGCTTCCTTGTGACAAGAGTAGGGATGGCAACGGGGAGGTTTGGGGTGGGGAACCTCAACCCCATCCCCGTTTAGCAAAGCTCCCCCAATTCTCGCCCAAAACCATTTATTAAACGGAATGGGGCAGGGGCGGGCTTAGGAGAGTACTTTTGTAATTGTATTATTAATCTAACAAAAAGAAATAATGAAACCAATTTTCAATAATGGTAATAATTCCTTTTCTCGTGTGGATAAGAAAAAGATTTAAATACTCAATTGGAACTTGAGATTACAATACATAGAGGTTCTCAAATAAAAATAATACAAAAGAATGTCTAGTAATTGGGGTAGGATAACTTAGGGTTTACTTAATATATACTTTATAATTTTGAATATAAAAATAAATTATAAGGACAAAATTCTAATTTATCACTATCAAAGGGGCGGGGAGACCTTTCCCCATCCCCGTCCCACAACTATGCGGGTTTTGAATCCTAACCCCTACTCCTGCCCCAAAACCATTTAACCACCATAACCATTTTAAACGGGGTGGGGCGAAGCGGGTACCCGATGGGGCGGTGTGTTTTGCCATCCCTAAACAAGAGTTATGAGCTCTCTACATTTAACCATTGAATTGAGATAGTTTTTTGAGATCTTTCAAAAGTGAAATGAATCATTTAATACATATTTCAGTCACTTGCATTTAATAGAAAGGTAAGTCGAGTGCAAGAGGCTCCTGCCATTGCAGGTTAAGGGACGGTTAAATGTACACAGCCTTACCTTCTATTTCCCGTTTTGCTAAAGCTCTTTTTTTTTTTTTTTTTTGTACTTTTTTTTTTTCTTACGTCTTAGGGCCTGTTTGGCATTGCTATTAGAATTATAAAAGAGCTTTTGTCAGTAGAGTTGCCAAAAAAAATGTTGTTAGTAAAACGCAAATTAGGTGTTTGGTGATACATTATATAAAGTACATTTCAAAATTAAAATATTTTTTAATCTATTTGATAACAATATGTTTTTAAAACACTTCTATTGTTAATTTTACAAGTCATCATCATCCTTGCCTTTATCCCCATATGGATGGGATTAGCCACATGAATTCTCTTTTTCAATTCTTTCCTATTGTATACCATATCTCCTCTTAAATAGGAATTTTTTTTTTTTAAATCGTTTTTAATTACTTCCTTCCATGTAAGTTTTGGTTGCCTTCTTTGTCGCTTACCTTCTAGGCAAACAACTCTTCTTCTTCTAACCAGTGCATCATCAGGTCTACGATGAATGTGACCCATGCCACCTAAGTCTACTTTATCTAATTTTATCTTTATAGGCGCCTAAGAAGCACATACACTTCTATGAGGTTCCATGTCCAACACTCCTAGCACGTGTCTGTGACTTCATGGCCGTGTCCATTATTTAAAAATAAATTTTATTATCTTGGACACTTGGTCAACACATTCCGAAGACTTGATCAACACATCTTACACTCTTCGTTTTATACAAAACAAATACACGAAAGTCCTGGAAACAACATTATGAACATACATCATAGTGTTCAACCTCTAAGGAACAAAAATATAACTATAATTACAAGATAGGATAGTGATATCATATATAGTGTAACATATTCTTTTTGATATTTGAATAGCATCATTATGTAACATATTCTTTTTGATATTTGAATAGCATCATTATGTAACTTCAGTACAGAATTTAGGAAGTAATTAAACTTCTATGATTATCTCATTTTACAGATATATAAATGAAAATTTATATTTATATACCCGTGTCTATGTCGTGTCTGTGTCTTATTTTTTTAGAATTTGACGTATCGATGTATCCATGTTGTATCGTGTTCGTGTCCTGTGTCCGTATCTGTGCTTCTTAGATAGGCGTTAAACATAGTGTTCCTCTCACACGTTCATTATCAATCTTTTTTATTCTTTATTTATTATTATTTAATTCCTATCATCCAACATAGCATCTTCATTTCCGCAACATGGATGCGTTGTTCTTATGACTTTTTCAACGCCCAACACTTCGCTCCATATAATATAGTTGGTTGAATAACCGTTCTATAGAATTTTCCATTCAATTTTTTTTGGTATTCTTTTGTCACAGAATATACTATTAGCTTGCCTCCATTTTGTCCACCCCGCTCCAAATTTGATAATAACAACTTCATAAAAGAAGGGGTAAACTTTTCTGTGTATAAAAATTAAAAATGATGAAATTGTCCTAAGGAAAAACAGTTAGCTAAAATAGAGAACGTAGTTTCAAAAGTTAGAAATCGTAGCTTCATTCAAAATCTCTACTAAGCTAAAATTGGTAAGTATTAAATGTTCTTTTCATGGTTACTAAACACATTTGAATGCAATTTTTGAAATAAAAGTGCTTTCAAGTGATTGAAAGGCACTCCCAAATGGGCGCTTATAATAAACCCAAAATTGGATATTGTACAGCACCTTAAAAAAGGGTACATACAGGAAAGGTTGTCTGCTATATCTGATGTAATTACCTTCTGATTGGACTCGATGTGGTATGGTGAGATCTGAGGAGCGTCCTAGGCATTTGGTAGGGAGGGAGAAGCTTGGACCCTTCCCCTTTTGAATTATAGATGTAGAGAGGTTGGTCTCAATGTGGCATGGGAGATTTGAGAGGCATATTTAGCATTTAGTAGTAGAGAAAAGCCAGATCTTTTCCATGTTGAACCATCTTTTTAGAGTGGTGATTGATGTTATATTGAGTTTCCTCGTAATTAGAAGGCAAATGAAACTGATTATTGAGTTCATGAGTTAATAAAGTTGTCTCGTGGGAAATATTTGTATGTTTTAGTTCATTGTCTCACCTATAGTTTTCTTCCTGTTGCAACTAGCAGGGCCCTGCCATGGAACCCTTCCAACATGATCCTGAAAAAGAGAAGTACTATGCTGACCTTCTACGAATGGGCACAATTGATGGTTCGGACGATGCGGCTGTCGAAGCGGAGATGGAAGCAGCTCTCAAGGAGTATGATCAAATTGGTGCTGATCTCGGATTATTCTCAAGACATGCAAATTTTTGGCAAGAGATCCAAGCCAGTTGACAGCATTGATTACTGGAGAATTGTGTACATTATAGCATGTGGCCTGCATCAATACCCCTATATCCTCCTCAAAATATCATTATTTCATGATGGTCAATGGTAGAGATGATAGATCAAGAAAGTTTTGAAACTCCATGTAAAATATACATTTTACCATTGGAACTCCTTAGTCCTTGCTCTCAAAATATCATTGTTTCATTATTCTTAGTTTTTGATCCTATGAATCATTATGGTCAATGGTGTGGAGATGATAGATCAAGAAAGTGTTGAAACTTCATGTAAAATATATATACATTTTACCTTTGGAACTCCTGTTACTCAAATACAGGGACATTGTATTCAGTTTTCCAATTATGATGAGGTGTGAATATCTTGTATGCAGTCCATTTCATCATTCATTATATACAGACCATTTTTTGTCAGATAAATCAAGTGGTACTATACATCTGAGCTAAATTGTGGAGAGTAACAATGGAAAGTGACTTTCATAATTGAACTGTGCTTGTTTGAAATGTATGAGGTAAGAGGCTTTCTTCCAACATATGATACTAGGTCATTTTCTTAATGTATGCGAATGAATGTCTTGGGTATTGGGACGACTTAAATATGTTCCGGGATGTGGACCCAGAGGTAAACTATGTTGTGAAAAAGATTGCTTTTATAATGGGGATGTTATTGATGAATTGTTTGTCAGAAGACCGTGATTGTTGGTCTTTGTTTAAACAATGTACATCAGCTGTCAAATTTGGAAAGAATTTTAGGAGTTAAATGATAAAATCTAATAATTTAGGAGGTTTTTAGGTAATCTACTCTTTTGATGAAATACCTTATTTTATTTATTATTATTATTTTTTTTCTCTTTATAACAATTTTTTTTGTCCTAGCTACACAAACGAAACATTTGTTACGAGACATTTATAGTCTTCTAGTCAAGTACGTGATACGATATTATATATATATTTTACTTTATGCTCAAATATATTGTTTTAATAAAAATGAGAGTTTTTTTTTTTTTTTTTTTAAAAAACGAAATCTAATTAGTTTACAATAAAATAAAGATTAATTTTTAATTAAATAATTATCTATTTTATTTTAATTGGTGACTTGTTTTATTATTTGGTAAATTATTTTATTAAAAAATTATCTATTTTATTTGAATTGATAACTTGTTTTTAATAAGAATAAATGTTTTATTATTATTATTATATAGTCGTTAACTTGTAAAATGAAAATGATTTTTTTTTTTTTGTTAATACAGTTTGACAATAATTTATTAGCATTGCAACTACAAATCTAGACAATGGACACATATTGTAAAATTGAAATTCAAACACCGAAGGTGCACCTTAAATATTTTTGAAAGTAGTGCTAGGATGAATATTTATTTGTAGAAATAGAATTAGAGAAGATAATATGCATTTTTCTTTTCTTTCATAAAGGAATTCATATGGTAAATAGATAAATTACTACTATAAGATTCGTAGAAACTTAAAGGGAGTTAAAGGAAGTATTATTAATAGTAGAGCAATTTTAATACAATTAAATATCTAATAGTAGAAATAGAATTAGATAAGAATACTTGCGCTTTAATTTGGAAAGAATATTTCAAATTTAAAACCAAACATAAAACACATAATAAAAACTCCATATATGACTAAATAAAATAAATTAAGAATAAACCATTTAAAATTAATAAATTAAGAATAAACCACTAAAAATTTAATACCTTCACGATGCTTCTGTAAAAAATAATAAAATAAGTTGAATAAAAATTGCAATTTTTATATACCAACAACTTGTAGAAAGCTGTGTATTAAATTAATCAATTAAACAAAATTTTAATATGTAATAAATTAAACAAAAATTCAATATGTAATTAAACAAAAATTTACTATGTAACAAAGTCAAATCCAAAATCAAGTCCGACCTAAATAAATTAACGATGAACCAACAACCAAATTTTAAACCAAGTACAAAACACATAATAAAAATAAAACTTTCATGATGTTTTCGGGAAAAAAATACTGTACAAACACCAATAAATTAAATTCCCATATAATGTATTAAATTAATCAATTAAACAAAATTCAATTTGTGACAAATTCGTGAGGAATTCTGTGTAGAATAGGATATGAGGAATCATGTTTAGAGTAAACCATGAGAAATTTTGAGTATAATAGGGATATTATTCTATTTAATAACTTATTTTATTACAAAATATTTTATTTTATCGTGTGTAGAGTAAACCATGAGCAATTTTTTTTTTGGGAAGAATAGGATTATTATTCTATTTGATAACTTATTTTATTATTTTATTTTTATTTATAAATATGATTTGAAACACCTTGACACTCCCTTGTACTTTTATTCCCGTGTAACTTTTAGGAATCAGATATAAAATAAGGTTGGAGAAATTTGGTGTAGAGTGAAGTAAATCATGAATAATTTTGAATCGAATAGAATTATTATTATATTTTATTTAGACAGATGTCTTGGTAATTGAATGAAATTAATATTTTTGATAAATTTTAAAGTGTGAGACTCCGACTATATGTATAAATATAACTTATAACCGTTCTTGTAAAAATATATATATATGTATATAGATTAGGATTCTATATATGCTTTGCAACAAATGGTCACCTCTTTCTAGAATTTTTCCTTTTTCCAAGTTTGCGGCAAGGTTGACTTTGTGATTTTTGTTATGAACTTTCTTTAAATCACTACTCCGTACAACATTTTGAGTATAAAATATGTTACTCATACATGACATCATCGCATTGGTGGTCTCACTTTCACCTTTCAAATAAGATAAATAAAATGATACTAGTTAGTTTTTTACACTTTCTTTAATTTAATCAGATTTGAATATAAAATTGTGATACAGACCCGAATTATTATTATAAATAAAATTTAATTTAAAATTTCGAGGTTATTATTTCTACTTTCATATTCATATTTTAAAGAGCACTTCTTGTTATAAAATCTTTGTGGAACATAAAATTGTTTTTTAAAAAACAATTACCAAAAAAAAAAAAAAAAAACTGTTTAAGAAACAACTTCAAACAGTCCTTTCAGAACCCTTTTTTTAACGAATCCAAACACGACTTTGGATTTTCTTTCCTGCTCTCATCCCTGAGCTTTGAGTTTTAGTCTGACCAGATCGAAGCAGTCTCAACAAACAACCGACTCAATGGAACCCTAATCTGCTTGGGCTTTAAGAGGTTCTCTCTCTTCCTCTCTTAGATATAAATATATGTATGTGTGTGTATAAATATTTCAAACTTGTATTGCTTTGTTTATGTGGATCCTTTTAGAGCAAACTAAACCTCAATTTTGATACTTAGTAGGAAAGAACTGTGATACAAATCATGAATTCAAGCTCAAAGCTTCAAAAAATTCGTTGTAATAAAGATAGGATCAGTAACTTACCTGACCCAATTCTCTGTCACATCCTCTCATTTCTTCCAACGAAATTCGCGGTTGCAACCGCCATTTTATCAACAAGATGGAAGTTCCTTTGGGCTTCAGTTCCCATCTTAGACTTCAACGATTCCATCTCCTTATATTGGCCCGGAATCATGTTCAGAAATCCCAGAGAGCGCCATAGTTTCATGAACTTCGTAGACAGAGTGTTGATGCTTCGTGATAATGAGTTGAATCTTGATAAATTCAACCTGGATTGTTGTGGGAATTGTGATTCGACCCGTGTTAGCAAATGGGTTTGTTTTGCTGCTCGACGAAATGTTGGAGAAATTAAACTCAGCCTCAATTTGAGGCACCCATTTCACTTGCCACCCAGTTTTTTTATGTGCAATACAGTGGTGGTTCTGCAACTGAATTGGAAGATTTTGGTTGATGTTCCTGAAAATGTTTCCTTTTCGAGTCTCAAGGTCCTTCAGCTCAATGGTGTCGAGTTTTGGCGGTATGAGTGTCTAGAGAAGATTTTATGTGGTTGTCCCGTGCTTGAAGATTTGGTGATTAGGAATTGCAAATGGGTTCGAGGCTGTTGTTTGAATGTCTTTGGGTCGGCACTGAAGAACTTGACATTACATTCACAAGCATACAGAATTGTAGTTGATGCCCCAGTTCTTGAGCACCTTGATATTAAAGATTATTCGTCAGAAAGTATTTTGATGAAGAACCTATGCTCCCTAGTCAAAGCTAATGTAGATGTTGCAAGTATAACAGTGGGTGGCAATAAGTTTTCTGATCTTCTCTGGGGGTTTTCTAACGTCAAGTTTCTGTCACTATCTGGAGCAACTATGGAGGTTAGCTTGCTTAACATTTTCAATATCTCCTTAAAACTTTCTTATAGTTTCTAGAAAAATTGAATTAATACACTGTTTTCTTCCTATTAATTTTATTGTTGTTATTTTTGTATTTAATTATTTCTAAAATGGATAAAATATGTGTTTTCTTTTCGTGAAGGCACTCAATTTTGCCTATGATTATACTCTACCTACATTTCATAATTTGACGCGATTGGAGCTTACTGTTGATGGATGGAAGGGTTGGAATTTGCTGCCTAAATTACTCGCAAGTTCACCTATCCTTGAAGTTCTTGTCTTTGTGGAGGTAAGTCTACATGCACCCTTTTTTGGTATAAGTGTATTTTTTTAGGTCGTTAGTGTCTGATCTTGGCATTTCTTGATAGGGGCTTATTCACCTTTTTAATTTCCAACTTGGAATTTTTCGATTCAATTGGAGTCCGCCAGAGCATGTGCCTAATTGCTTGTTGTTACACCTTAAGGCAATTGAAATTAAGAACTTTGAAGGGGTAGCTGATGAACTGAATCTGGTCAAGTATTTGTTGAAGAATGCAAAAGTCTTGAAGAAAATGTCTATTAATTGTACTTTCTCGACGGAAGATGTAAACATACAGAAGAAATTATTAAGGTTTCCAAGGGGCTCAACGAGTTGCCAGCTTGATCTCATATTTTAGTTGTATAATATACCTATTGGAAACAGAACAATCTCTGTAAAGGAAGGGGCAAAGCTTCTATGACAGCTTCCCCCTCATGTAGTCATCCAGCATATGAAGGTATTATCTGTTTCTTTGATCCTCTTTATTCCTACTTATATTAGACTAATTTTGGAATGTATTTCACGCCTCTTCTCCATGCCTTTTAACTTGTTGAGTTTCAAGGGAAGATTGAACCATTGATACAGAGGAGTCGTCAGTTCATTAGTGAGTGTCAGTATTCGTTTAGTTTTGAAACCTATCTGCTACATTTATATGCGGATGGGACAATGCTCTATCTTAATAGAAACTTACTATGATATTTGTTTAATAAAAATTAGTATAGAGCATATTAAATCTTAAGATCTGAATTTGTTAGTATCAATCTATAATGGATATTCCTATATAGGAGCCATATCCATAATTCCGTATATTATCCGTGTTGGACATTGCTTCTTCTCAAATACTCCGGGTAGGCAAAATTTTCCTGAACTCGTGCTGGAAAACATCTAACTCATATGAGATGGGGTGTTCTTAGTAGTGTACTTGACAGAAAAGCATCATGGGGATTTCATCATCATCGTCCTTGCCTTTATCCCAAACGAATGGGGTCGGCAGGAGGTTTTTATATATTCAGAATAGTATTATTTTCAAAGAAGAATGAGATGTATAAGATGAAATCAATTTGAATCTAGTCTAGGAATCATGTCAATGAAACAAAACTATCAACTTTCTTGCATCAACATTTAATAATTCACCTTACCAGCAGAAGAAGTTTAATATTACAAATCAGAAACTTAGAATATCTAATAAATCATAGGAATTATTATTATTTATGTGTGTGCGTCTTTGTAGAGCATATCCTTACTTTTTCAATATCCTATTCCTTAAAAGAATCCCTCTTATCAATGTGTTTGTATCATGTCATATACAATTATACATGTCCGTGCTTTGTGAGTAATAATGTAGTAGATGCCTTAACTCTTGTATACTGATCCTTAGATTTTGGGCTGGAAGGTGCAAGTATCCATGTTCTGCTTTGGAACTAGATTTGGTGGACAATGAGAGAATAAAGTAGAAGAAATATAGGATTGTAGTTATTTTGTAGTTGAGCTTGTAATTTGGCTAGGCGTTTTTCTAGATATGCTTGTGCCAGGAAAACTGGAACCAACTCAGTCATGTAGTCGTTTGCTACTGCATTTGATGCAACTTTTTTTTTACTAAATTGTCTATTTTAGTTGGGTTGGTTGTGTCATGTGTTAGCCCCCCTACAGGATTGCTTAATTTTCGGCATAACTGGCCTGCTCTAACACAAAATGATACTCAGTTCTATTTTGAACTTGGTGTTCCACATGCTAGTGTCTAAAGATTTTTTTTTTTGATAGATATGCTAGTGTCTAAAGATTTTTGTGTGCTTCATAAACTAATACGTATGCTAGATAACCATTTTGTATCACCAATCACTAAAAAAATATAGTCTAGATGGCTCCTTTTTATGTTACACCGACTAGTGAAATAGCACCTCCAGTCTTTATGCTGCAAATATCCCCAAAAGATCCATGAAATGTAACCATTAATGCCTCCGACCTCCATAAAGCGAACAATAAGTGCTCACTTTGGAAGTTTTTATTCTTTCTCCATCCTTGACGTTACTTTCTTTCGTACTCGATTACATTTTTTCCCTGTATTACAGGTATTCTTCCATAAGACTCTTACTAGTGGTTCTTTCACTATTTATGAACAAAAGTTGATCAGGAAGTGTTGTTTCCAAGTTTAAGTTCAAGAACCAAAATGGTATTAGTGATATCATGTTTGTACTTTGGTGGAAGTTGGCATCCCAAGGCATTAATGTTCAAGTAGGAGATGAAACTAGGGAAACACTGGTGCTCATAAATTGTGTGAGACACAAAATTGGTTTTCAATACTTTATAGTAATTTTATTTTGTTTTCTTGTTTCTTATTTTTGGTCTCAGCTCACAACCCAAACTAGTGGAAGTGTGTAACCCAAGGCTTGGTGGCAGTTCTGGGGCCAGTATGTTGTGCTAAGTTGTGGATTGCCAGTGTGAGAGCAGATGACATGGTCTTGAAAGGGGTACGAACCGCGATCAAACAGGCCTTACAAGGTTTCTTTTGCTTGTTTCTGTTATGTTAGTTCTCAAGTTTTTGCTGCAATATACCAAAACCAATGGTTTAAAAGCTGGGGTGGACTTTTCAATTGAACTGCCCAGCCATGAACCGAGTGCCTCCGTGGTTGGTTGAACCCTAGAAATCGTTATTCGGATGGAAACTGTTGAAATTTGGTTGATTTTGTCTAAATCATTGGATATTTAAGCCGGTAGCCCATCCAGGTCATCATGGTTACATGGAACTTCCTGAGTTTAAGCCACTTGGAGAAGCTGTCATGATATGTGCTCTTGAAATTTGACTTGTTGCTGCCGATGCCATAGCTCTAGTGCTGGAAATCGTTTCTTGGGCAGTTGGGAGCACCTCGTTCTCGGCATCATCAGCGCACACCTTTTTCAAGGTTCTCTTTGCATTCAAATCAAAAACAAGAATGGGGTATGTAAGAACAAGCAAGTTCTCATCTCTGCAAATCGAGGATGTTAATGGCCCTAATGGGCTTTGTGTTCTTTTTCAAGGTTTTCAAGGCTTTACTTGAATTTGATGTTTCAACATCACTAATCAAAGAGTCTTGAAAATAAGGTATCCATTTCTCTTTATGCTTTTTTTGTTTGGATGTAAAATATTGTTTTATTATTTACGAAGCAAAAAAATATTTAAACCTAATAAAAATAACTTACCTATCAATTTTGACGAGTTGTTTTACACGCCCTATCCGGATTCGACCTCAATCTTGATCTAGACTAATATCGAAAAATAAATTACTTAAAAAGAAAAATACTCGGAGAAATCTACTCAAATTGTTAGCCAGCTCTTCAAAAGCAGCAGGGTAATTATAGGGCGAATTTAGAGGTAAATTTTGATGTTTTTCTGAAGAAACGATTGGATTTGGCTGATGTTTGTACATTATAGGGTTCTAAACCATATAGCGTTTTGAATTTTCAGTAATTATGATTAATTAACTATGTATCTAGAATCAGATGCAATTGTGGCCTCTTATCAGCAAAATAAGCTAAGCACAAGTCTTGCAATCCAGTAGAAAGAGCATGATTAAGCCTGAAATGGGCTCCAACTGTCCGAAGTTTAAATTAAATTTCACTGCTTGAAGCCTGGCCCGTAGGCCCAAAATCAAGCCCGACTCAATGTTTAGGCCTCAACTTCACACTTTTCAGGCCCAAGTTTATATTGGGCTTGGCCTGGCGCGTTGGTGACTCCTTTGCTAAGTCACACAAAGTCGGAGCAAGTGTTTGAGTTACAAAATCTAAGTAGCAAGGAGTGAGAACGAGAACGAATAAGAGCAGCATTTAATTAGAAGAATTGTGTGACTTAACTTATATGTGAGTGGAGAATAACACTGTCCATTAGTTATCGAAAAATGATAGTTGGAAATACCTATAAAAAGAAAAAGGAAAAATGATTAGCTGGAAAAGTAATTTTGGTGCATGTATAAAACCTTCAACATATTGTAAATTTTGATGAAGATGTACATACCAAATACGCTTTCACCTATAAAGGTGTGTGTTTCAGAGCATGTTTGTGCGGGCATGCCTTTGCATGTGTTTTTCTCAAAAGCAACTGTTTTTTTTCTTTCTTTTTCCTTACCTTTCCCTTTCCTATCATTGTTCTACTCATGAAAGCGTGAGTCTGGAAAAAACACTTTAACTGGAAGTGCATGAGGTTGGAAAACAAGGTTGAAATTAACAAAGCTAAAATATTATTACGTTACGTTAGGTTTTGTGAACACCGAATGTGTCTTAAAATTAAAATTGAAAAAAATTTAGTTCAAAAAAAGTGTTGATTTTTATGTTATAGTCTCGTGCATCAAAAAAGTTCACTAGGTTGAAAGAGTTCCTCGTTAACCAGAATTATTTATTTATTTATTTATTACTATTATTTTTTGGGTGCAAATGACCCATTTTAAAGCTTGTTTGGCGTGTGCCATTTTTTGGGTGTTAGAAAATCAAAAGTAATCCATCTCCTAAATCACTTACCGAAAAAAACTCCTCTCTCAAATCCAATTATGTAGCTTTAATGTTTGGAGCTAAGTAGAGGCCAAATTAGTAGGGGGAGTTCAGCTAAAATCAAGCTTATCTTTTCTAACTGTGCATCATCCCACTAATCACTTTTAGTGTTTTAACAAAACCAACTTGCCATATTGGATGGTTTGGTCTGTCTTGCTAAACTTTTTACAAATACCATTTGCTATTTTGGATGATACTATTATGAGATTCTGTGTCCGCCTCTCTCTCTTCTCCAAAGTGCATATATAAAAGCAACCAAGACACAACCACCAAGACATTTGTGGAGCAGTTACAAAGATGAAGCTTTACTACTTTCTCTACTGCATTTTATCTATGACTCTCCTGCTCTCCTCAGGTATGTTACTTGTCTACTTTAGAGTTCATCTCTGTCCCAGCAGCAAATGGCAAATGGCTCAATTCAGCAAATTTCCAAATACTAAAAACCATAAACTGACCAAATATGGTTCTCATAAATGGATCAAAATCCTCTCCAGTCACGTTTTCTCACGGTCCTATCCGGAGGGCGAAGTCCACCATTAGATAGAACCGTGAGAAAACGTGACTGAGAGAGGATTTTGATCTCTCTATGTATGATCTCAAATCTTGTGTTGATTATGTTTTTTTTTTTTTTCGTGTTAGTGGAGAGGACGATGTTGATGGGAGACAAGAGGGTTGATAATGGAAGGAGGTGCATGGCAGTGATGGACCCGGGTGGATGTGAGCTTTCATCTTGCAAGCAGAACTGCTTTCAAGTGAAGAATGGGAATGGAGCGTGTGTAGCTCTAGCCCACATACAAGAAGTTTATCAATGTGTGTGCTACTTCAATTGTTAAGCTGTTGCTTCTATTTTGTTACTACTATGAATGTGATCAATGTAATAAATTACATGCAAATCATTTTCAGCATGAGCAAAAATAGAATTTCTGGTACTTAATTAACAAGCATTAAAGGGAAGAGCATGAGTCTGACCAAAGACAATGTTTCAAAGACGAACATTTCGAATTTGACTCCCTTTAAGATCAGCTTTAAGAGGTTTCATGTAATAATCATAATCATGTCATAACCTAGCCTTGATCAAACATCTTGTTAGCTAATTAACATCTCCCAACATTTTGATCCAAGTTACTTTACACCAATGATACCTGCATGAATAATCTCTGTCACGACCCGCCCACACCACGTAGATATTGCCCCCTTGCACACACAGTAGTTCTCCTCCAACACAGTCGGGGCTGTCCACACAGTGTAAATCTCAAACACCCCACCACCCCAGGGCGATGTGGGACGTCACACTTCAGGCAATGGGGGACGTCAAACTTCACACTTCACCTCATCTTGACATTCTTTTTAGCACTTCTTGAAACTGGTGTTTAAGCCAGCTAAGAGTCAAGCGAAAAAGGGAAGAAAGCTAAAAACAGAGACCCCTGCTTGAGTAATTATTCACCTCAATGTTCGAAAATAACTTCTATAACCCTTGGTGGTTTCTACACTAAAACCCAGAGACCCTCTTGGGCCAAAAACCAGAAGAGGCACTAGAAGTTGAAGCCATTTGTACAGCAAGATAGGTTTCTTAGTCGAATTCAGGTCACATTTAATTCATAAAGCCAGGAACACAAGGAAAGCGATCACAAAGATTCAATAATAGGGATGTAATTGATGCAAACAGGGAACTCAAATACCGAGTAAAAGTAATTTTCTATATTGAAGTTAAATAACGTTTACATTCATAGAACCCAAGTTGCAAAACACAAATTGCAAAAATAATCAACAAGGACATGATTTCTTAGTTCATGGTGCCCTTCTATTAAAAAACTTTGAGCTCCATTAGATCTACAAGAAGCTGGTCAAGGAAGATTGTGGAAGCCAAAGCTGTCCTACTCCATGCAAATATAGTAATCATTGTTAATGGCACTGCAACAATAACTATAACATCCCAACAAGAAATGAGCTCATGATTAGGGAAGCTACTGAAACTTAATGCCAAGGAGTCACCTGTCTATAGCCAAGCTGGCAAGAGTCCCATCCTCCCTCTGGTTCCCTTCTTTTCATTGGTGTGGCAGATGAAGCAATTTGTCTAAAAGACTTCATTTGCTCTTCCGTTGATGAAGTTCTTACCGGAAGTAAAAATTGTCCTGCATTTCCTCCCCTGCTTCCATTCTCTGAAGAATTTACCCCACCATTTACATTAAAACCGAGCCTATAGTTTTTTATGTCATTGGGGCTTGGTCCAGCAGCAACCTCCATGAGATATGGGGACCCGGGAAATGTGGGAAATGCACCAGGGCCCGGCATTTGAGGGATGACAGTAGTTCCACGCGGGTCTGTCATGTATGGTAGGACCCCTGAAGAATGAATTGTGGAGGATACAGGATCTGTAGGGCCAATGCAGAATCCATAATTGTAAGGGTAAGCATGTGGTGGAATTGTCTGTGGTGTATACGGTAATATGGGTTGCAAGTGAACTTCCCTCTGCATTTGTGTCATTGGGGGTCGGACATTTTGTGCAGCCGCGAGAAAAGGTAAGGCATGACCATGGCTAAAGAGCTGCATAGAACTGAAATCTGCTGAATTTGCAGGTCTCACCCAATTAAAGTCTGGTTGTCTAGAATTTCCCTGGAAAGAAACAGCAGGATTATTCAATCCCTTGTTTCTCAAAAGTTGGCTGCATTGACCTGGCCAGTGAGCATCATTACGTGAATCTACAAATGACAGATTGTCATTCAAATCCAAATCCACAATGGCTTGCCTTGACAATGATACTGGTATAGAAGATTGAGGACAGTTTCCATCATTCTCACTAGGACGATTTAGGTCAATATCGAGCATGTCGGCTCGTTTTGAACCAACTTCAACAGAAGACTCTTTAAAAGGGTAACCTGAAGGTGTGGTGACATGTTCCCTAGGCAACAATTCCATGGCACAATCATCTCCTGCAGCAGCAACATTGAGGTCAAACCCTGTAAACTCCTGCGAGTGCTTTGAGCTGCAGTTATTTTCACTGATGGAAGATGCTCTGTGCCTATGGGAACCATTGGAATGAGCAGCAGGCCGGAAAGCACTAGTTGCAGCAGAACCCCTCCAACCTAGTTCACCTTCCAATTTCAATGGGGCAATAGGTAAGAATATAGGAACTCCAGACTTGGCCACTATGGGTACAGGTGTTGACAAATTGCTCACATTATAAGATGATACAATTCCATTGACCAAATGTTTAGGGTATTCAACTTCACTTTCCTGTATATCTTCATTCAAGTCAAATCCACTCAGACGTGGAGTCTGGTCAACTACTTCTTGTTTTGTAGTCAACACAGATGATTCCTGCGCATGAGGGCCACTGTTAGTTTCATGCAATGCAGGATCCATGCCCTGTGATGACCCTTCTGCAGCCAACAAATGTTTATTTTTCATTGGTGTTTCAGGATCCATCACCTCCTCATTGGAACAAAAACTATCACAGTTACTTTGTTCATTGCATAATTTGACCCCTTGTCTGTCTTCCATTGAGCATTTTTTATATGGTGCAAAATCCACAGAACTCAGGCGAACTGCTTCACCATTTTCCTCTTTAATGGAAGAGAAGCTTCCTGAGGTTTCCCTAAAAAAACCAACCCTTTTCTCAGCTTCTCTCGCAACTTTCCATGCCACCTCCAATGTGTTATCCTGCTCACAGGAATGCTCCTCTTTGTGCTGACTCAAAATTTCATCATTTTTCTGCTTTGATGGACTGGACTTCCAAATATTGATCTTCTCTACAACTGTAGAATTGTGGTCTGCAATCCTCCTCGACACTTTCTTATCATCCCTGGCTCTAACATTGTCAATTGCTCTTTGACTGATTTGTGCAGCCATACCCAAATCCAATGCAACACTTCCTACCGCCAGCTCTTCCATGGTACACTTGAAACCCAAACAGTTACAATTCTTCAAGCCACTACCACAGCGCTTGCATGACTTGGCTTCCAGTGACGTTTCCTGAAAGCTGTGGCTTGAAGAAGAAACTGGAAGTATGACATGTGTTGAGTTAGAAGAAGAGGACTCGGTTTTAGGTTGTGTAACATGAAAAGGGGCATGCATGAAGGACTTCAAACGATCTTCACTAGCATTTATCCAGTTCCCTTTCGTTCTCCCAACATTTGACTTATTGTTCTCTCTGATAAGCGGAGATCCAGTATCTGAGCTAACATCACTCTTTACAGAAATGTGCTGTGCGGAATCAATTCCATCTACAGATTGTACAGAAACTTCACTACCCTTTGGATTGCCATTACAAGGATGTTCATCCTGAAGACCTGAAGATGCATATCCATTGCTACAAGACATTGAACCTGAAGTTCTTTCAGCACAAATTTCTTTTTGATAAATTCCAAGTTCAACCTCTAAATGCCTTGATGTAGAAACAGCAGGTGATTGTGATTTCAAACTGTTTGCACTATCTCCTTTTGTGCAATGACTGGTAGAAACATGATCGCACGTTGGGTACTTCCTTTCAATTTCTGACGAATTTTCAGCTTCACAACTCTGGATTTCTTCACTGGGCATACGTTGTTGCTTCTCCAATACAGCATCCGCATCCTTAGACTTCCCACGACTGTTAGACAAGCCCTTTTCCATGGTAAAATCTGGTACTTTTCTTAGTAGTTAACCTTGTAAGAAAGTAGACTACTTTTCTTCAAAGCATCCAGATAACATTTTGCACATAGATTAACCTTGCCTTGTGAGTGCTTCCAGACTTAACGACAATGTTCGCCAACTCCACAGTAATTTGTGTGGGTTAACAATGTCCTACATAACCCCTCTCGAAACATGATACTATCATTATTCGAAAATCGGATATTCAGCCAGGTAGTAGACTAATTTCCTGCAATTTCAACATCCATTGCACATCAGTTGTTTCATGTAGAAGTAATTATTACCATAAGCAAAAAGATACCAATCCATTTCTCATAGAAGGTAGTATTTTTCAATGTCCTGAAAGAAAAACAGAGAACCATCTAACTTCTCCAGACTAATAGTTTTGTCAGTCTTTCATTACATAATTATTTAAGTGGTTCAACCGGAGAATTGCAGAAAACTATGAAATAATGCAAGTCTTTGACGAAATCTAAATTACATATAGAACAATTTATAAAACATTTGAAACTCCTAACAAAATTTAGACTAAATTTCTATCATAGCTTTGACAAACCAACTTAAAAATGAAGAAGAGTTGAAAACACTGCATAGGACATGAGACCAAACAATTCATAATTACTCCTATGAAGGAGTTGAATAAATGTACAAGAAGCATAAACCTAAAATACCAAGCAAGCTGAGAAAATTGGTTCCTCGAATTCCTCCATATTTGAGAAACAAACTAAAACTACAAATTGTACAAATTTTGAAATCATCCATTAAAAATTTTCATGCCAACTCAAAACAAATAAATAACAAAATTAAAAAAATGAAACTGAATACAAAGGGTTCAACTTAGAAATTATAATGTAAAAGAAACAATTATTTCTCTAACCATCAGTACCCAATACATACTGGGAAAACATGCATCTCTTAGACAATGTTGCGATGTTTGCAATGGTTAGCCAAGAAAATTCACTCGTTATAGTGTAATTTAAAAAAATTTCTTTCTAATTGTCCGGAAAATATGAGAAATCAAAGCGAAAATTCTAGGCAGCCAAACAGTAAGGAAAGGATAATCACCAACAAATTTCCTCATAGAGGAGAGCATATTAATCAAGTATGTACCAAAGCTTAAGCACAACAACAGGGATCTACAGAAAAAGAAGAAAAAAAAAATAGAATCCAATCAAAAGATCAACGAAAACCTAAAATTCAGGATTCAGAGAAGCTCAAACTGGATCTGAATAATCTTCATCCCATAAATAACTCATTTCCATTATGATACAATCTCCCAGAGACCACAAAACCAAAACGCTAGCAAACCCAAATTTCTCAACTCAGAAACACATAATACTCACACACAACAGAGATCTGAGCAATGAAAAAAACCTTCAAAAACCCAAATGAAAATAAACAAACCACTTCATATATTCAGTATATAGCCAAGAAATGAATGAGTTTATGGAAGAAAACGAACCTGAGGTTGTGTAGAGGGATGATGAATTGTTGAGAGATTGAAGATGAGAAAGACAGACTTTAGGGTTTGAAGATTCAGCAACTGGCGGCCATATGAGCGTCAACGGAAGAACAATAAGCGCACACAGAAACAGAGAACCCAATGAGACTCTCTCTATCACTTTCTCTCTCTAGTAATTCTGGGTCTACACTACACCGAAAGTCCAACCAAGAAATAAGAAATGAGATCTCGCTTCTTTTCTCCGGAGAGCCCAAAGGTGAGAGGGACAAGTGGACAAAAGATCATAGTCCCACAGAGTAAGAGTATTCCTCCTGGAGCTGAGCTTTTTGTAGAGAGAGAAAGTGTGTGACGACGCATATAATACAAACAAAATGCATTGTAGAGAGAGAGAGAAAGACGACGATGTGGAGAGAGAGGAGAGAGAGACAGACAGTCAGTGGGAGCGAGTGCGTCAGAGTCAGACAGACAAGGATGTGAAGGGTGGGGACACCTCGTCCTCTGCCACTGCGCCCTCTCTTCTTCTGCCGACGCGGGTCCCACCCCCACACGTTGGTAGGAATCCCAACAACAATTAAATTCATCTTTTGAGCTGTTCTTTTCTTTTCTTTGCTTGCCCTCAACAATATGTGTGTGTATATTTATATATATATATATTACGAGTAAAATTTTACTTTTCAATGTATTTCAATGCATTAGTTAAATGCCATGTAAAATAAATTGTCTTTCGAAAGATGAATAATATCTTAATTTATGTTGGTTAAAAATGATGTCATTATGAATTCGCATAAATATAATGGGATGTATTTAATTTTAAAATGTTAAATCATTTTTTATTATTAAATTTTAATAAAAGGTGACAATTATAATCATTAATCATGTGCATTAAAAGGTTTCACTACAAAAAATAAAATAAAATTGTAAGATTATTTTAACAAGTGAATAATGATAGTGTGCGTTATGAACTATGGAGTTGTGAAACTTCAAATTAAATAAGCTTGATAGTGTGCGTTATAAACTTTGGAGTGGTGTAATTAAATATGCAATGGAAAGTATAATATTCTTACATATATATATATATATATATGTATAGATATATATATAGAGAGAGAGAGAGAGAGAGAGAAAGAGAGAGCTGGCTTTTTTGGATCATTAAATATCTGCAACAATTCTTGTCTTTGCGAAAGAGACACTGACCTTTCGCCCTATTAAATTCCTCTTCCATCCAAGACGCAATCTTTGAGTTAGTGAAAAATAAGACGCGCCACCGTGGCGCGTGTTTCCACAACAATCAGCCTTTAATTAATTTCATTTTTTGAAAAAATGACCGATGGAGAAGAATTGGAAATTGTTTTTCAAGTTTGGCTAACAAAAATTAAACGAGATTTTGTTTTTGCCTGACATAAAAAGATATTATAGAGGAAACGAGATTGCATTTGGATTTTTTTATTACTTTGTTATTAGTGATAAATAGTTCTTACATTCATGATTTGTCGTATAGATCAATAAGCAATGTATCAATCGGTTCGTAACTCTTTTATAAGAATCAATATTGTTATTTACCTCCGCGAACTGATCGATTCGGTCGATTTACACGTATATTCGTTTACACCGCGACTGATATGAATACCGCAATTATGAACCATGCTTACATCATATTCGACTGGACGTTATACTACTGCGTGAATGCTTCACATATATAAATATATGTGTGTGTGAGTAATTATTCTCGTTCGACGTGATATAACATAATTATGTTATCATTTCAAATTCACTCATGGTATTGATAAAATAATTATACAAATTGTGGTCTAATGAGAGAAGTTGTTTATGGTTCGGAGCTATATTGGTATCCGAAAAATATATATATTGAAAATGTGTAATCTTTATTTAACTTTTTTACTCACGCGTTCAATGAAAATTGGTTGGGACTATTTAAAAAATTCTTGTCTAATACTCGTAATAACTTATTCTTTTAGAGAGTTCAAGTTTTTATAAAAATATTATGGGAGTTATTTGACCAAGAAAAAATAAAAATAAACAAAAATTGCCAATAAAAGTGTTTTTTTAACAGTGTGAAAATTCCTCCTATTTGACTAATGGAAGGGAGGCACGCACATGTGTGTGTGTGTGTGTATATACACAGCTTCGATGTGTTCCTTTTCATGATGCTTTATTATGAATTATATTCCATTAATCTAGACCACCTTTTCATCAAAAGATTAAGTTGACTCTATGTCACCCACTCTCTAATTTCACGCTTCTTCAGTTTTTCCACCAAAACATTAATTATATAACAATGTTATCACTACTGCAACTTTGTCTTGGTCATATATTTATTTCAAAATCCATATATATATATATATATATAATTGTTTAATATTTTAAATTATGATATATATATTTTTTAAATCGCACACGTCCTCAGATCCAACTGGTATTACAAAATTTCCAAAGGACGACCAAAAACTAACCCACCCATCGACACTTTGGACCCATATACAATAATACAACGTACTACATAAAATGATTCATGTTTGTTGTGAAAGTAATATAATATTTTGTTGAATTAAATTGAGTTATTTTAATTATATATAGTACTATTACTACCCTTACTTTCTAGATTTTTTTTCTGTTAATTTTTACTTAATTTCTAACATTGTTACTGCATTAATTTGTCGTTTTAATTTATTTTTTATTTTTTATTCTGCCATGTCACTTGTTTTACTCCTCTAATGAGTCACGACTCATGACTTAAAACTCAACCTTGAATATGAAAGATTTGGATTGATATTGCAATTTCAGGCGGCTATAACATATTATAATTTTTCTGCAGAACTTACCAAAAAGCTACCAAATATAATGACATTTGAGGATTTTTTTTTCTTTGTGGGCCATCATATCGATTCTGTTTAATGCCTTTATTTATTTAGTTTTTTTGTTAGTTAAATACTCAACATTGGACACGTAGCCAACTTAGCTTCAATCTATTAAATTTTGGCTCATTAGGCTTAACTTTTTATTTTTTTATTTTTTAAGAACAAGCCATATGTCATATGGCATCTATAACAAGTTCATCGAGCAAAAATATAAGATCAAAAACACATAAAATATCATCCCAAAATCAACTAACACATTTTATAGTCAAGATTACCAGTCTTGACAAGCGAAAGAAAAAGTAAACTTGAAATGATGACAAACTTGAAAAAGTAAACTTGGACTCAAAATGTAATTATTTTTAAAAATTTGAGCACGTTTAATAATAAAAGTCATTTGAACTCGATTTAAGTTTAAGTTCAAGGTCGCTTTGATTCAGTCATAAACTTATATAAATTTACACTAATTTACACATTCATTAACTTATACAATCACATATTTGTGAATTTATTTCTAAGCCTCTATTTATGTTCATAAACACATGCAAGACTATACAAATATATTTTTACTTGTCAAATATTGTTCGGGATTGACTCATTTAGCTCATTTACTTAATGAATCATGAACTATTAATAAACAATTTAATTCATTTATAGACTCACTCACACGAATAGATATTGGCAGAGGTGGGCTCTAGTGGGCTTGAGACCACCAAAAAAAAAAAAAAAAAATTACTAATATTAGTGTACCCAAAGAAATATTAATCCACCTCATTAATAATTTTTAAATTTGTCTTTAAATATTGATATCCTGTATACCGTGCATCAAGTTCATCTAAATTGTAAGTGTTGTATGCATATAATTCGAATGATCTTTGTGCACGATACGTGGCGGACACCCAGCACCTTTTCCACTAATGTTGATTATGGACTCAAATTCCCACTTCCAAATTGAGCCAATGGTACAATTATTTATCATTATCATGTTTTGTCAAAGAGATAAGAGCAAAACTATACAAGGGTTACTATTTCAGTTTCTCAGTACAAAGAGAACAGAGACACCTTGTCTTTATTACAAAGTGGACCAATAATGTAGGAACTTATGTCAATCGGTCAAACAATATTGTTTCTTCTATCCAACTATGTACCTCTAGTTTTTTTATATAAAATGTAGTAATACATATCTATACAACTTTTGATTCCACTGACTGAATAGAAAGATTTGAAACTGTTGGTACTACTGTTAATAGTAAATAAATTTAAAATAGTCTATAACTACTGGTGGCCCAAAAAGAGTAACAACTTTAGCACCACTGGCTTGTGTTGGCAGTGGCAGATAAAGCATGCAATAGCCATATTTTACAGAAATAAATGTGTCAATGCACAGCTAATTATCTGAAAGTCTTGTACTTTTCTTGGTAAAATAATTAAATAAAAATTCACTTTGAACCCCAATGTGGGCCCTTGTAAATGGTGAGTGGGCCCTTGAACCTATTAAATTTCGGCAGGGACCAAACCGGCCCAGATTACATTTTTGGCGGGTTTTACTAGACACGGAGGAATCTACTTTGACAATGGAAGTCAGTTCGGGTTCCGTGTCTTTGTCATATTATTGTAACTTTTGCCCATTCATTTCAGTCCAATTATATATGCTGCTCCTTAGTGATTCATACAATATAATACATACATATATATTTAAATATATCTATACATAAATATAGAAGAGTGATCTCTTGCTCTCCATATATCTATATATAAATATATCTAATCTAACGGTCTAAAAACCCATTTATATATATATATATATTTTTTTTAATACAAAACCACTATAATTATTTATAATTTTCAAATTTAATATTTATCAAACTAGTAATTATAACAATAAAAGATAAATACTCAAAAAATATATATAGAAATCTCTTCACCTCTGAAAATAACGTCTCTTTCAAAGACCTATAAGAGTATTTTCTCTTTCTCCATACAAATTGAATTTGCTAGTTCTCTATCTCCTTTGTCTTCTTTTAATCATAAGTTCTGATTTTTACAAAAGTGTCACAAACCATTCACTAAGTTTGTTTAACAATTTAATGATAAATTATAGTCATAATCACATCACCGACTCAAAAATATACAACATATATAAATAAAAATAAAATTTATTTTTTTCTGCACGACATTTCACCCGCATAAAATTTAATGGATTAATTTTTTTTTTTTCTTTTTTTTTTTTCAATCTCATGTAATTTGTAGTTTGAGAGAGACGTGATTTCCAAAGGTGAAGAGGTTTCAATTTTTTTTGAGATAATTATCTTTTATTGTTGTAATTAGTGGTATTGATAAATATTAAATTTAGAAACTAGAAATAGTAACAATGGTTTTGTATTAAAAGGAAATGACGTAAGTGGGTTTTTATAATGAATGACCATTGGATTAGATCTAATGATTACTATAGAAAGTGCGGATGAATTTTCTTGTTCTATGGAGAGCAAGAGATTATTACTTTATAAATAAATATATATATATATATATATATATAGATTGATGAATGACAACTGTATTATTCATGACTGATGTTAGGTCCACATTCAGTTTTTTTCCAGTGTTGTTTCGACTATGTTGCGGATGCCAGTTCATAGAAAATAAATCGTGTCAGGTGCAATTTTAAAAATAGAGTAAATTATAATGAACCTTCGTTGAAGTTTGATTAAATTACATATATATTGTTTTAAATGACCCGTAGACAAAAATTTATAAATCGACTATTTTACTCTTTTCTTGTACAAAAATTTATCCCTTTTATGAAAATTAGGGCTTTAATTTTTACTAACTTTTCATAGTCACCTTTCAGCATTCAGGGAATGAATATAGGGAAGATTAAAATAATAAACATTGAGTGCTTTATTTATGTCTTCCACACTGCTCATTGGAATAGAAAACTCATAACTTAAGTCACATAAAACAGGAGTGAAAGCGAATTCAAGAGCGGGAGTGTGAGAGCAATAAAATTAAGTCATAAACATAATCGCAGAGGCGTGAGAGCGACACTTGTTGAGAAAGATTTTGTGACTTAACTCGTAACCACAATTAATTGTCCATTAATTATGCTTATTAGCATACTTTTAATGTGTTGGGCTTGGCCCTTGTTGCCTTCTGGGCTTGTATTGTCACCCAAATGGAATGTCTGGCCTATTTCCCACTTTTTTGTAATTCATTTTCATTTATTCAGTTGCTTAAAATTCCAGAAAAAATTAAAAAAAAAATGAGAGGTACAATTTACCTTTAATGATTTTAAACGAATTTTAAATTGCAATAATTCTAAATCGAAATGCGTGAAAGTGTTTGGTGATGTCGGAAGCGAGAGAGAGTTGGGGATTCCATAATAGATATACTATATGTATATAGGTAAAAACAAATATTTACAAGAAAAGCTTCGAATCCACACATTTGTAATTAAATATAGATCAAGTAAAAAAGTAAATAAATTCCATTCAATGTTGAAGATTCACTGTTTCATTCAATTGCTGCTGCATACACACTACTAAATAAATATTTCAAACGTACAATGTTGTTTGTAGTTTGTAACGAAATACTATTTTGTCTTGACACTTTACAACTTCAACCATAGCGCACTAATAGACAACTACAGCTGTATTAATAGAAATTTAACATTTTGGATTAATAAAAGAATTTGTGATTAACTTGTGATTTTTGTACCAGAGGAAAAGAAGATAACCCTAACAAGTTATTGTATAGAAAGAAGTAGGTGCCATATGTACAACTCTATTATGCATTCAGTAAAACAAACCTGATCTAAATTGAAGATTTACTTTAAACTTCGAATTAAATTTTCTCCGATTTCAAATCCAAGGTATACGCAACATGAGTTCAGTTTTCTAACTTTCGGCAACTCGGATATTGTAACTCTCAAAAACCAAACAGGTCCTTGTATTACTTTTCTTTAAACTTAGCTGAAAAGCTTGTTCAAATATGTTCAATAAACAAAAGAATGGCATAGTTCAAACCTTGTAAAGAAATGGCAACAGTTCTTGGTCCAAAAGAATGACAACAGATGATGTTGAATTGAAAGAATTCTCAGATGCTAAAGAATTTCCAGACTCCGATTCTAGTAAAGGCTTTTAAACTACATCCGGCGGAAAAATACAAACCTGTGTGAAAAAATCACGCATCACCTCATGGCTCGAGCTGTGACATCCATCCACTGTCATTGCTGCAATGTAATCAGTATCATCCACACCTCCCTCTAGAGCCTGGAGTCCTTTATCTTATCTTTTTTTCCCTCTAATCACTTCATCTTACAACAAAATCCGCAAAGCATTAACTTGTTTTACGCGTAAAATCTCTAGTCACATTTGATGTTTCTGTAGATCCTCCTTACAAACAAATTGGAGCCCAGATAACCAACTGCTCCTGAATTTTCGAATAAAATAAGAAAAAACTAACGATGTTAAAAGGAATGAAGTTTTACAACTAAGGAATGACAGAGATTTAACAAAAAGTAGATCTTTTCAAAACCTTTCTCAGAAAATATATCAGATTAGCAAAACTTACCACAAAGTATACCTAAACCAAGACAGAACATCAATGTGTATCCAAAATAAAAGCTGGTCTGAAAGAAGCCCGACATCTTAGTCTTCAAATAATAGTAATAAAGTGAGTACAGGAACACGTAAACAGCAGTGGAGGCAGCACAGAAGAATGAAGTCCATTGCCAATGATAGTTCTCAGCATTTAACAAGAAATAGGTCCCAACAATTGTCACACAAATGGTGACGATGATCAGAATCACAAAAACAAGAAGCATAAAGCCATACACATAGTACACCTGTTGAGCACATGGATCAAATGAAATATGGTTAAGAGACACACAGCAGACAAAACTTAAAACTTTTAAATTATGGATCTAATGAACAAGTGATAGGAAATAAGGATACATATAAGGGGAGAAGAATAATCCACACACTGGGTGAAGATTGTCAATGAATTCACACGTGTCACATAACATAGTTTACACTTGATTGGGAAAAGAAGAAAGGAAAAAGAGAGAAAAGTTCTGCAACTCCACACAAGAAGGCTCAGTTCAGAAGATTATGGATGAAGCAATCATCATTTTTTATTTTAGTATTAAGCATCTAATTTGAAACATTTTATTTAACATAAATTAAAAATACAATCTATAGTAACAAGATAAAACCAAATGGTTCAATTCGAATTCAGATATATACTGCAGGATGTTTGTATCCAGATTACCTTTATAAGGTGGAAAATGTTATCAAGAAAGCTCTCCCATGAAGAGAGCCCTGAACTCTCTTTAGCTGTCAGATTGAAATATTTATCAAAAGACAAAATTGACTTTATCTTATTATTCATGGATCTTGAGACCTTTTTTTTAATCCAGTGATCAATAAGAAGAAATCATGACTTTTGTCATGAAAGAGACCTCTTGACAGCCTTTGTCCTAGTGGCTTTGGTTCTTAACTCCCAAACTCTGGGAGTTAAGGTTTCGAGACTGGTAGAGAGAGAAGAAAGAGACCTCTTGACAGCCTTATTCTTACAAGGCAGTTGTACCAAAGTGGGGTACTCGTTACTGTTATGACAAAAGCAACGAACCGAAACACGACAGAAAAATAAACACACCACACAAAGAACACAAAGCTTTATACGTGGTTCGGCAAAGCCTACGTCCACGACCCATGAACAAAAACGGGTCAAAAAATTTCCTTTAGAAATGGCTAACAAACTCAAAAGATCTGATTATGCACCAATGTGATAAAACAGTAAACACTATACATAATGATTATAATGTGGCATAAATATTTGTCTGGCAATGTTAAATCTTTTCAGAATGAAATCCCTAATTCTCAAGCAAACTGAAATTATAATTCTGACATTTATTTCAGCTGGGCGAAGGAACAGAAGAATATGTAAGAAAATATTCAGATATCCTGGTAAAATTAAGGACCAAATTCTCTCACAACTTCCTGTCAAATTATTGCAGGAGGTAAGATTTACCTTGTAATTCCAGAAGGAAGTGAAGACAAAATACATCTCGATGAAAATGCTTCCAAATGGAAGCAATCCTCCCAATAGAGAGACTACAAATGGCGTGAGATACCATTTCTTCTCAGGGATTGGACGAGGAATGGTCTTTACTCGACAGGGATTGTTTGGAGCACCACTCCAGTTTTTTCCTACAACAGTGCCAAGAAGTACCAGAGGAAAGGAGATAAAAGCCCAAATGACAAAAATGACGACCATTGTACCAAAGGGAATCGCAGCTAGAGATCGGTAAAATATAGCAATTGTATTCAATATGAATCCAATCCCAAAGCACAGGAAAGGGATAAGTGATGCTGTGAGTATCATTGACTTTACCCATTTTTTACCTGAAAAGATAAATTAAAAGTAAGCTTTCAACAAGGACATGCTGAGAAGATAATTAAAAGGGGATGACAAGGCATGACTTAATTGTAAATAAAAATAACACGCGAAGAAATAGACAAACTACATACCACCATATCGGGAATACATGCCACCACTCACATAACCAGAAATGAATGATGTAAGAGCATAACATACTATAGAAGTCGTGACAATTGCTCCTCTCCTGAGGCACATAAAAATCATAGCATGAAATGATCTAATAAAGGCAATTAAGACAACCAGGCAAAAACACAACTACAGAAACTTAAAATAAGTCTTTTGCAACAATCCACTCAAGAAGTGATCAGTGCACGAGTCAATAATGTAGGAGCAATAATTACATTTCTAATCCAGATAAGACATTAATCATGCCTCTGAATCTTACAAAATAGATGCTCTTTGACAGAAAGGGATGTTATGTAAATAGGAAACCAAACTTTAAATAGGAACAATGAAACTACGGTCTATAGAAAAACATATGATTTAGATATACAATGTTCCAACTTCTTGCATAGCTGATCTTTTTACGTACCCGATATACAACATTCCAATAATTGCTAATATAATGACAAGGAGGGCAAGTGTTGCTAGCTGAGCACCAGCTCCAACAACAGCTGTAAGCAGTACCAGATTTTGGGGAGTGCGAAAGACATCTCCATGGACAAGTTTCCAACCAGACTCTTCATTTACATCCCTTTCCTGAGCAGGGAATCAGAAAAAAGTATGCATCGTTGTGGTTTTAGCTTATGAAAAGAAATCTCAATGAACCTTATTGACTGAAAAACTAATATATACATATTTACATGCATATCTCATAAATAAATTCATATATTTAAGCATGTATATATATATTATCATAAACATGAAAAAACTACAAGTCAGAAAGCATTACTAGAGCTTCTAAATCATCATCTTCCCGAGCATATTTGGCATAGTCCTTTCGAAGAGTACGGATCAATATCATTGACACCAAGCCAGTAAGGAAAATAACCATCATGAAAGAATTGAATACGGAAAACCAATGAATCTGCGCAAAACTAAAGGTTATTTGCAAGCTTGCTCAGAGGAAGTACAAGAACAGATAAGCATTTTCAGATGATAGCAACAAAATATTTCTTTGACGACGCCTTTCTCAACAAGATCCTTAGAAATCCCAAAGTTAAGCAAGTAAAAGTTAATGAATAAACTGTAAAATTTTTGCACAATTAATAGATTAATAAATGATCTATTGCTCCAGTGGTGGAAGTAAATAAACCAACTGGGTGACCATTTACCTGGTGCTCAAAAAAAGGATGGTCCAGGTAAACATCGAAACGGCGGGCAAAAGAAATGTCGGTTGAAATCCATTTAACAGAATACGTCATGCCTAATACGCTCCCCTCTTCCAATGGTTTAGGGCTGTCTTGAGTGAGATTGACATGAATAATCTGCAAAACTACATGTTCTGTTAAAAAATAAAGAAGTTCCTTAAGCAGATTGTAGAAAATTCACTAAGTACATTACCAACCACAATGAATATTATAGAACTTACATGATCCCCATTGTATTTAACAAAAATATTCTTGTTTGTATAAAGCACATGCTTATTATCAGGGCTTCTATGAGGATGCAGCTCACCAACAAAACCTGATACCAAAGACTTTGCAATCAGACCAAACTAACAAAATGAATTCAAATAAACTAGAAAAGGAATTAGTAATTGACTGCGTACCCCATAGAGGCAAATCATCTGATTCAATCAAGCCCGAAGCAGGAAAAATAGAAAGAAAGAAAGAGAGAGAGAAGAGTTAGATAGGCAACGAGGGGAATAGTAAGACAATATATTGGTGTAATAACCTAATCCTTGCCTCTGAGTAAAGAAAAGAAAAAAAGGAGTTGAGAATACACGCAATAATGGAGGAAAACATTAGCAATAACAGAACTTAAATAATCACGAAGAATGTACCCATGAAGAATTCAAACCAATATGAATTATCTATTGCATCCTTCAACCGTTTAACCTTTGTTGCATCTAGTTCAAGCTCACAGATGGTATTCTTGTCCACATTTTCTGCAAAAAGATATTGTCAAGTAAGATATACATGGGTCCTTACTTCTTAGTGAAAAAGAGATGAAAGGATGAAGGAATACGTACTCTTAAATTTAATATCAATTTGGCTATCAATGAGCTGGTTTCCACCCAGAACCTCACCAAGGCCACCCCACTTATGAGCCGCATTGCCAGATGAGTGGCAGAATGGAAGGCTGTAGTAGTTATAGATTTCTTGCGGATTATTATATGGGCCAACCTTGTTTACCCATAGAGTGACAGGATCACCTGCTTGATACTGTAGGATAAACCAAAACATTTGACGATAACATTAGAAAGGATACATAGAAAAAAAATTCCTTAGAAGCCATGTGTTTCTACTGAATTGTAAACAGCAGAAAAAAAAACAAAAAACAAAAACAATAAACAACTCCATGGTACATTTATAAAATTAGAGTTTTGTTTTAGCTTCATTCACTCTCTATTTGGCAAAGTGAGATGAGGCTAAACTTAGAAGTAGACGAGTAATATGATATGGACCAAGATGCTGGCAAAGCCAGCGTTTTCTGAGTGGAATAGCATATTATTGGAGATCTAGTGGGATTTACAATTAGAAAGTTCCAAGTGTTGCAAATATTTTGTTATGAAAATGAATAAATCCAAAGCAGAATATGTTTATATACAAGTTTGCAATACCAATTGAACTTTTATACACAAGATAATCAATCTTCTGAAAAAAATAACTTTGGTAACAACGATAGACCAAGTTTAGCCTTCTTATTCTGGTTCTGTTTCACAGACACAATAAGCCAGTTATGGTTCTACACACAGTAGATACTTTGAATGATACCACAAAATACTCTTTTGGGCTGCCAAAGCATCAAAGATGACCTCAGAGTTAAAACCAATGGGCCTACTTGGTTCTGTTTTCTGAAAACAGTTCTATATTATAAGAGAACTGAAAACAAAAAAAAAAAAAAAAAAAAAACAGCTCAAACAGTTGATAATGCTAAAAACTGTTTTCTCAAAACTTAGTTTAAAAATGCCTAATTTTATAGCACAATGATCCTAAGAAGCATGTACACACCTAAAGGCTAAAAGGGCAAAGAATCCATGTCGGACACGCCAAAATATGTGTCTAAATATTTTTATTTTTCTGAATATTCGGATATGGCATGGGTACGCAGTGGACACATATCCGACACTGCATTGATATGTGTCTGACACGAGTGTCGCATGCTTGGGAATTCTAAGAAAGTTTTTGAAAGAAAGTTGGGTTGAAGACTTGAAGGGTAAATCTGTAAATATGAGGAGTTGTTTAATAAATTATGATGGTCATTATAATTAGTAATTACTTAAAAGTTGTTTTATAAAACAATTTATATTAATACAATCAAATATTTTAGGCTTATAATTACATGACCAATTTTTAGGGTTTGCCGTCGACTATGTGTCCTAATTTTTTACGATTTTCCATGCCGCCTTGTCCGTGTCATGTCGTGTCATATCCGTGTCCCATATCCTTTTCTGTGCTTCATAGGCACAACCTTTTTTAGTTCTTTCAAAAAAAAATTGTTTTCAAAATTATTGAAATTTGTATTTAAAAAACTAATCCAAACAAGCCTAACTTTTTTCCCCCCTTTTAAATACACAGAAGAACTTAGTTGAATACACAAATACAAGATCCAGTTTTCAATGTCACTACGCGCATCAAATAGAGCAAGAGATTGTTGGCTTGAAACATGTGGCCAATGATTTTCAGAACATGGATCTTATTGTGCACAAAACTAGAATAGATAAGAGGCAATCACACACTCCAGCACAATATGCCAAGCCTTTGAAGCACCTATCTATATTTTTCTCCAGTTAGAACTGCGAAGAATATACAAAAAGATAATCAAAACAGCAACCTACAATGGAGTCCTTTGATCATGGTTCTAGGAGGGGTAGACAGAAAACTTTCACAAAGTGGTCACCATCAAATTGAACCTACATTTGCATGTTTGTCAACCTGAACTTTTGAAATTGCATTTCGCAATAGCCTACCTGAGATACATGGGTTCAAAATAAAACAGGTTCCTTCAAATTGAAAGAGTATGGATTCTAATTTGGCTGGAAGTTCAGAAATTGAACTAGGGTTGACTATGAGCGTGGTTAGGTATCACATAGGACGTTATTAAAGTTCCACTATGTTACAATCATCTTTACAATTACGGTTTATTATTGCCTAACCTCACAGATCACACTGTTATCCATTAGAAGGTATGGGAAGGTGGACCAAAGAAGGCATTGAATGCATTAGTGAAAGGTTTTTCATTTTACTGGATGTGCATATAATTTAAGATATAAGATATGCATTAAATAAAAATTGCAAAAAAAAGTGTGCTGGTTAAAATTGACAGGAGAAATCAAAAGGTGATGCATGGAAGAACGATCTGAGGATTAGATTAGTTGAGGAGAATCTTAATGTGCACAGCTCAACCAATAATAGATATACCCACTGCATGCGTGCAAGTCTTCATCGGTATTAATAGGTCAACATGGGTTAAAAAGCCCTTTACTCCACCGAAGTAGTGTTAGACCATTACTATAGATCAAGGCCGTGATGAGGGCACCCTCAGTGAGCTCACGCCCTCATCACCATTTAGATTGATGTAAACAACTCCAGACTAGGTCTATAAAAAAGCCAACTGAAGCAGAGTATCAAGCTGTTCAAAAGTCACTGTTTTGTACTTGAATTTAGCTCAAGTTGAGAATTAGTAACAGGGTTGACCACTCAAAGATAAGGAATAAGATAAGTCAACCAACTCCAACTAGAATCTTCAAAGTCCGTTCCATCGAATTCTGATTCAGCTAAAGCAAAGTTCAAATTTCATCCAGCATCAACAAGCTCTTCAAGCTTGGTTCACGTGAGTATGACAGAGCTTAAGCATTTTACAAACCTGATAACCTCTATTATAATTTTATTATAGTAGAAAATTATAATTTTATTCTTATACCAATTACCAATGCTGTGATGAGGTATTGATCAATTGTATCGCTACCACAATGTGATAATCCATATGCATAGAATATACCTGAACAGGCTAGGTGAAATTTACAATGACGCTTGATTATGAAAGGAAATTTGCTCATTCTATTTCAAATGTTTACATGGAAAAAGAATAGTAGAAGGGAATTTTTTTAAGAAATTCGAAACACATGAATAAGAAGAAAATTCTAATCGCATTAGATCATTTGTGGGTTGTGTAGCCATGGTGCTTAGATATGTTTTTTATTTAGTTACTATTATGAAGCAAGTACAAAATAATGGGTATTTAAGAAACTAATACTACGTAGGAAACTAGCAAAGAAACCCAGTTCTTCAGTCATTTTCCTTTCCTTCGCTTTCCCTAGAACCAAACGGAGCCTAAATGTCATAATTCTTCCCCTTCCTCAATTCTCAAGAAAACAAAACAAGATATACAACAAGTGTGTATATATATGTGTGTGATTTGAGATCTAACTGTGAGACATATAATAAAAACATGTGTAGAGAGAAGAAATTAATGAGAGAATTGGCGAAAGATCTACAAGTTCCATGTGAATACAGAAAATTTATATCAGAGAATGAGGGTTAGAGTAGTTAATTTACCTTGTGATCGGACTCGGAACCGGAGGTCGGGGAGGTGAAGAAGAAGAGAGAGAAAATGAGGAAGATGGAGAAGGATCGGACGGTGGAAAGCATAGCTGGAACAACAATTCACCAATCTCGCATCTGCGGAGTGTTCATTCTCTTTTCATTTCCTAATATATAGCTATTATTTTTCGCGTTCGTCTTGCACGAATATATATATATATATATATATATATGCACGAATATATATATATATATTGAGAGCACCTTGCGGGATTCTGAGAGCTCACCGACTGGACTTTGCGTACATCTGAAATTCGCTGGGAGGCTCTAATCCCACCTTGCAACGCATTTATTATATTAACACTAGTAAAACATAAGAAATTCTCTCTTTTAATTTAAGTGTTATTCTCTAATTCAATAATAAATTTTAAAATATTAAAAAAATTATTTATTTAATTCAATAAAGGAAAATATAATTAGAGAATAAAATACTAATAATAATATAGAAAAAGAAACACTTTAATATATAATATTTAATATATTTTCTTGTCTTTCTAATTAGACAAGAAAAGTACATTATTTTTTAATAATAAATTTAACTAGACAAAAAAATACTCCGTATATAAAATAAATAAATAATTTAGTCTCTCTAATTAAACAAAAAAATATATAAAAGATATATATGCGTCTTAATAATATTGTAAAAGAGATTCTATAAAACTCTAACACAAAATTCTTATTTATTATTAATTTTTAATTTTTAATTAATATAAGGTGTTTATAAGACTTTCTATAAAAGAAACTCTAATACAAATTATTTATTTATTATGAATTTTTAATATTTTTAATTAATATAAGGTGTTTAGAAGAGTTTCTCTATAAAACTCAAATGAAAAAAAAAAAATCTATAACACTCTATTACAAATTACCTAATTAGAAAAGGAAACACTTTAATATATAATATTTAATATATTTTATTGTCTTTCTAATTAGACAAGAAAATATATAAAGAAAATAAATAATTTATAGAAAATTTAAAAAAAAAATTCATTTGAGTTTTATAAAAACTCTTCTAAACACCTTATATTGATTTTTAAAATTAAAAATTCATAATAAATAAGTAATTAATTTGTATTAGAGTTTTATAGAAATACTTTTAAAAACTCAATTAAGACATATATTTTCTTGTCTAATTAGAGAGACTAAATTATTTATTTTATTTAATTGAACTTTAAAATAAGAATTTAATTACTAATAGGTGTATTTTCAAACTCCTAAAACAATATCAAAATCAAGACTATTTTTTATTACAATTTACTAATATTTTGAAAGTTAGGTGTAATTAGAAAGACTAAATTATTTATTTTCTTTATATATTTTCTTGTCTAATTAGAAAAAGTAAATTATTTATTTTCTTTATATATTTTCTTAACTAATTAAATTTATTATTTAAAAAATAATGTACTGAAATGTTATTCTAAAAGGAAACATACATACAGAACATATAAATTTATTATTAAAAAGTAATGTAGTATTGCACGTGAGTAAGATATAATTTAAAATCAATATTTAACAAAGTAATTAAATAATTATAAATTCTAAAATATACATTAACATAAAATTGACATAAGGTAAAAAAGATTAAAATATAAATTTTAATTGAACTTTACAATAGGAATACAATTATTGATAGGTGTATTTTCAAACTCCTAAAATAATATCAAAATCAAGACTATTTTTTATTATAATTTATTAATATTTTATTTTACAATTTACTAATATTTTATTTATTTATATATTAGAAAATTATTTATATATTCTTTATAAAGTTATAAAAGATGTTGAGACTAAATCGACTAAATTATTTATATTTATATATATTTATTGTCTAAACAGAAAGAGTAAATTATTTTCTTTATATATTTCTTTATCTAATTAAATTTTATTTTATTTAAAAACTCATAATAAGTAGGTAATTTGTATTCTATAGAAACTTTTATAACCACCTTATATTAATTTTTAAATAAAAACGAATAATAAATCATTAATTTGTGTTATTCTAAAAGGAAATATACATACAGAACATATAAATTTATAATTGAAAAATAATGTACTGAAAAGTTTAATATATAGTATATATATATAGATTGGTAACTTATGTTTGTATTTTAATTGGTAACTTATGATTAACTTATTTTATTATTTATTTATTTTTAATTGATAATGATGATTTGAAATTCTTGACTTATTAACTTTATTAATTTATTATTATATATTTATTTATTTAATGATTAACTTATAGTTGTATTGTTTGAATTTTATTTGATAACTTATGTTTTATTTTTATTTGTAATTTATAATTAATTTTATTATTTATTTATTTTTATTTGATACTGATGATTTGAAATTCTTCTAATAAGGAATTGTATTTTAATTGGTAACTTATGTTTGTATTTTAAATGATAAACTTATGATCAATTTATTTTATTATTTATTTATTTTTAATTGATAATGAAGATTTTAAGTTCTTGACATCCTTTGTAGATTAAGTTTAATATTCCATAACATTATTAAATTGAGAATTTCAAACATTTATTTAATTATTTTTTTGTCAATTTAAAATCTCCTCTACTTTCAATTTTGTGCAACAAAATTCCACTAAAATTAAATCACTCGAGCTATAAATTCTTATCATATTCGAGACCTTGCTGGTTGCTGAAAATTCAAGACCTCGCTTGTCCATACTTAAAATTCGCTCCCTTCCTAGCGAATCATGTTATATATATATATATATATCATGTGATTGATGCATACTTTGTTGGTGTTTATATATATACACATAATGGTTGATCTTGCTTGGAAAGGATCTGAGGGGTATTTTTGTAATTTTAAAATAATAATTATATAAATTTTATTTAATATTAAATTATAAAGCCAATTTTATCATTTCACAATAAGAATTTATAGTTCGGGTTGGTTTAATTTTAGTGGAATTTTTTATTTTTTACAAAATTGAAAGTAGAGGTTGGTTATGTGATTTTACCCATAAAAATTATTGCATCAAAACTTTAAAATTGTTTTTGTTGCAGATGTAAAATTGCTACACCGTGAATTTAATAAATCCACGAGACAAGCCATTACAAATATATATAAATGATTTTACCCATAAAAATTATTGCATCAAAACTCTAAAATTGTTTTTGTTGCAGATGTAAAATTGTTACACCGTGAATTTAATAAATCCACAAGACAAGCCATTACAAATATATATAAACATGCCACATCATATTATTTTATTTATTTTTTCCTCTGTCATTATTCTTACTTTAATTTCAAAATAACATTATTTTTTTTTTTTATTGTCTTTTACCATACTGTCATTATAGTGCATTTAAACAAACTCAGTGCATGAGGCAGCCTTATCTTCAATTGTATAGATTGTTTACGTATTTTTAACCCAAAACTTCTAGATGGCAAAATACAAACTTTATAATTATTTTGAGACTCAGCCTCAATCACCTCGTATTTTTTATTGAACAAATAGTAATGCTCATACAGGAGTGACAATAATTTTAAACTTTAATTAATGAATTAAAAATATATTAAATAATTCATTTGTATTTTAATCCCGTTATTATATATATTATATAGAGAGTTTGTAACAAGAGTCATGTAGTAACTCTCTAATAAGCATTACACACTGAACAAATTTTAGACAAAGCCATATCAAAATTTCATACACTGATCTCTCAACTAGATTCAAATTGAATTTAAACAACCATCAGTTTTTACCTAACCAAACACGGGCATTCAAATATTTGTCTATAAATATAGATTATATAATTCATTTTCTTGTTTGAAAACATGTTAAATTTTTTGGCATAAAAATAAAAAAATAGAACAATACGAATATGTTTGGATATAATAAAAATTTTTGTTTAAAAATTCATCATTAAAAATTTGACCAATTATGAACGCGTAGATTTTGTATGCTAATAATTCGAGGCAAACATTTCCATTGTTATTAACAATAGACAATTAGACATAACAATACTTGCAAAATAATAATAATAAAATAAAAATGAGAAGAAAACAAAAATCTACTTTTTTTTTTTTTTTCTATTACAAAATGATTATCAAATTATGTCAATAATTAGAAATGATTTATCTTATCTACAACTGAACCCAAAAAAAATAAATAATAAAAAGGTAAATTTAAATCTACCTTTGCTATCTTATCCTGGTAATAATTTGAAATTACTGTAAAGCAAAAGTAGTGAAATCCAATATCAAAACAACAAAAATTAAATAGGCAAGTTAGTCAGGATTTCAATTCTAATTCTAAATATTTGACTAATATAAGAATTAAAAAACTTGTATTTTGAAAGCAATGCATGAAAATTATACCCATTGGAAAGAAAAAAAAAATTACATAATTACATACATCTTATGTAAGTACAAAAAGAATAATTTTAAAAAGTAGGAAAGAAAAAGGAAATAAAAATGATTTTAAGAAGTAGGAAAGAAAAAAAAAATGAAAAAAGAAAAAAAAAATGAGAACTTTTAAAAGAAAAAAATTATAGTTTGATTAAAAAAGAAAAATTTAACCTTTTTTTTTAAGAAAATAAAAGGAAAAAAAATAAGAGATAACTTTAGCTCGATGTTTCATTACATAATTTTAGCTCAATTTTCTCTACATATCTGGAACCTAACTTGGCCTTTGTACTTTTCAAATGACCGAAAAAAAAAAAAAAAAAAAAAAAAAAAAAAAAAACGAAGAAGAATGTAATGACACTTGCATCCATTTGTTGCAAATTGAATGTTTCCGAATAATTTATTTATGGACAATACATGCAATGGGCCAAAATCGATGCAACTATCGTTATCTAAAAAAAAATATAGCTTGGAAAAAAGATATATATATATACATAATATAATTTGAAATAAGCTCTTCACAAATTCAGATTTTGAGAATACAATGAACTCCAAAATTCACTAATGGCATAAGAAGGAAGGAATTAATTAAGTATCAATAATTAAACAGAAATGAAATGTTCCACTTCATTTGATATTAAAAAAAAAAAAAAAAAATCCAGACAAATCAAAGCATCAATGTCAATTATATACAAACAAAACAAAAACAAACAGATCTATCAATTGAGTTCAATTTGAAATTGAATTCAAGGCAAATCAGTGCCAGAAAATTCAAGACCATCATCCTCTTCATCATCATCCAATTCATCACCACAATCATACACAGATCCAACAACAAGGAACAATTGATCTTCAAGATACCGCTGCAACAGCACCACTTCATCACCTCCACCACCGCCAGC